TCACAGCAGAGCCAGAGACAGACAGCCTGTGTACTCCTCAATCATTCTGCACTGTGTTTTGTTTTGTTTAAGACAGGGTTTCTCTTGTAACAGCCCTGGCTGTCCTGGAACTCACAGAGATCCGCCTGCCTCTGCCTTAGAGTGCTGATATTAAATCAATGCGCTACCCCTTCCAGGCTTTGCTTTTGTTCTGACACAGGTGGTGGGTGACTGTGTCTCCCTATTGGCTGTGTCCTGACCTCAGTCTTTCATGAAGACAGTCTGGTTTTTAAAGCATGGGGGAAATGAGGAAGGAGAAGGGAGAAGGGGTTGCTTCAGGCTGAGGATTCTGGAATACAAAGGCTACCTGGAAACAAATGCTTTACCAGGTGGGGGAGATTAAAAGATTTGCCTAAAATGTTTACAAAGTAAAATAAATATATGGAATTTTGGTAGTTGAAGGACTAGCTCCTTTTATGTATGTATTTGTTTATTTTTTGTTTTTGTTTTGTTTTGTTTTTTTGAGACAGGGTTTCTCTGTATTGCTTTGGAGCCTGTCCTGGAACTTACTCTGTAGACCAGGCTGGCCTCGAACTCACAGAAATCTGCCTCTGCCTCGAAAGTGCTGGGATTAAAGGTGTGTGCCATCAACGCCTGGCTCTATTTATTTATTTATTTATTTATTTTGAGGCAGGGTTTCCCGGAACTCTGTAGGCCAGGCTACTCTCAAATTCATAGATACCAGGCCAGGCAGTGGTGGCGCACATCTTTGGTCCCAGCACTTTGGAGGCAGAGGCAGGTGGATCTCCATGAGTTTGAGGTCAGCCTGGTCTACAAAGAGTTCTAGAACAGTCAGAGCTGTTACACAGAGAAACCTTGCCTGGAACAAACAAACAAACAAACAAATTTCAGAGATTCTCCTGCTCTTTCTCCAGTGCTGGGATTAAACACCTGGGCCACCACACTGGCTGCTTTTAATTAAGAACAATTTTTTAACTGGGTGGTAGTGTACACCTTCAAACCCAGCATTCTGGAAGTAGAGGTAGGCTGATCTCTGTAAATTCAAGGCCAGCCTGATCTACAGAGTGAGTTCCAGGACAGAGAAACCCTATATTGGACAAAAAAGTCAAAAAAAATTTTTTACACCAGTGCTGTGATTATAGGTACAAGGCATGATACCAGGCCTTTGTATTAATTCTGGACCAACTACGTTCCTTTTTTGCAGGTATTTCAAGCACTTTATAACTGAGCCATCTCTCTAGCTATATATACCTTTTTCTTTTTAGGCTCAAATTTTTTTCTCCAATGCTTCTTTTGTCTCCTCTGCTATTCTTTCATCCCAGCAATGACCGAATCTGGCTTCCTATAGATTAAGCCTCTTTAGCACATTGCCATCTGTTCTTCTGGCTCAGACAAAAGATTTCATCCTCTGATCTTCCCCTCCCCACCCCAGATTAATCTTTGTACAGACTGTGAAATGCGGCCAGGCGGTGGTGGCACACGCCTTTAATCCCAACACCTAGGAGGCAGAGGCAGGAGGATCTCTGTGAGTTTGAGACCAGCCTGGTCTACAAGAGCTAGTTCCAGGACAGCCTCTAAAGACTTGAAAACCCAAAAAACAAAACAAACAGACTGTGAAATGCTTTTTAGTTGATAAAATTTACATATGATTAGGAGCACTTTGCTGTAATAGCACAGGCTGACTTTTGAGCAAACACCTAAATGTTATAAAAAATACTATGTAAATTTCCGGATGGCGGGAGTCATAGCTTTAAAATGTACAATTATAGTTTGCTATTATAAAACACACATATGGGCTGGGGCTAGAGAGACAGCTCAAAGGTTAAAAACACTAGCTGGTGTTCCAGAGGTCCTGAGTTCAATTTCCAGTAATTACATGATGGCTCACAACTATGTATAATGAAATCTGGTGCCTTCTTCTGGTCTGCAGAGATATGTTCCGATAGAACACTGTATACACAATAATCTAAAATAAAAATTAAATTCACACAGAGGATTTTTTGTGGGTAGGGGGTGTGGTTGAGGTGGTAGAGCTTTAGCTGTTGTGTCACGATTCCAGTTCCACCCGAGACCTCTTGGTGACCCTCCCTGTGAGCTTACTGGGCTGGCTACAGAGAAGGAGTGTAAGTGACCCTAAACAGGTCCATCACCACAAAGTCCCATCCCACAATAGGGTGACATCATGGAGCTTCACGGGGTCGTCTTAGCATCTCCCACCAACACATGCAGCTTTAGGAGAAGAAGGAGTGTTAGCTGGAATCCCAGATGGTGGTCAGAGAAACCCTGGACAAATGACTGAGAAGCCTATAACATATCAAGGAGGGTGCAGGCCAGCTCGTCCAGCATCACTCAGTACCTGTGGCTTCTCCCAGCATTTCATTTTCTTTTTTATTCATTGCTACGTATTTATTAATTGGATGTGCATGTATATCCATGTGAGGGTGTCAGATCCTCTGGGAGAGAGATCTGGAGCTGGAGTTACAGACAGCTGTGAACTGCCATGTGAGTGCTGGGGATTGAACCAGGATCCTCTGGAAGAGCAGCCAGTGTTCTTAACCACTGAGCCATCTCTCCAGCCCCTTCCGCAGCATGTCTCACCCGTACCTGCCTCCTTCCCTAAACTTCTGCAGCCTAGGGGCTGGGCCTCGATTCTCTTCCCCATAGCTTCTGGTCCCTCCTTGCTCTTTGGTTCCTCTTGGTTCCTGGTTTGTCTCTTGGCTCCCTCGAGCTCTCTTGACTCTCTTCCCTCTCACCCCTCTTCTTTCTCTTGCTTGCTTTCCCCATCTCTCTGCTCTCTTGGCCCTGTGCAGTCTGGACCCTTCCAGATGACTCCGACCAAACTCTCCTCCATATCTGCCCTAAACCTTCTCCTCAACCATATCATAGAGCAGTCCTTTTCCATTCACCTCCCACCTTCAGTTATTACCATAGACACGGCTCAGTTATTATTTTGCTTAATTATTTGCAAGGCTATTCAACCAGGGTAATCTAGACTCCAAGATGGTAGCCCTGTTATGTTTTAGTGAAAAAGTTAGGGCTCAACTTTGTAAGCCTCTTGCCTCAGCCTCCCCAGTACTTTGAATACAGGACTGCACCAAACACTCTGCACTCTAGCTCCTCTCTCTCTCTCTCTCTCTCTCTCTCTCTCTCTCTCTCTCTCTCTCCCCCTCTCCCTCTCTCTCTCTCCTTGGTCCTTGTTGCTCTTGGTTTTGTTTGTTTGTTTGTTTTTGTTTTGTTTTGAGACAGGGTTTCTCTGTGTAGCCCTGGTTGTACTGGGACTCACTCTGTAGACCAGGCTGGCTTCAAACTCAAAACTGCCTGCCTCTGCCTCCCAAGTGCTGGGATTAAAGGCCTGCACCACCACTGTCTTTTTTTTTTTTTTTTTTTTTTTTTTTTTTTAAAACACATATTGTAGCCCTGTAGTGGTGGTGCAGGCCTTTAACCCTAGCTCTGGGGGGGTAAAAGGCAGATGGATCTCCATGAGTTAGAGGCCAGCCTGATCTTCAGAGTGAATTCCAGGACAGCCAAGACTATTTCACAGAGAAACCCTGCCTCGAAAAACAACAACAAAATATTGTAAATTGATGTTTGCCACAGCACACATGTCAAAAGGCAACTTGTGGGAATTGGTTTTCTCCTTCTACCATATGGGTGCCAGGAATTAAACTGAGGTTGTTAGGCTTAGCAACAAGTATCTTGGACCTCTCAGGCATCTCATCACCCCCATAACAGCAGTTATTAACTGTTTTGGAAATGGTGTCTGAGTGCCACAGAGAGTAGAAACAGGGGAAAGCTACACTGAAGCTAACAGAGGAAAAGGGAAAAGGAAGCCTGTTGGCAGAGAGACTAGAAGCCATTCCCGGGTGACATGCAATGAGCAAAGCTTAAACAAAGCCCCCCCAGATGAAAGAAGCATGCAAATGGTGTATAAATGGTGATCATGGTGCCTGGCTGGGCTAATTTCTAACCATGTGTCCCTGGTCCAGCTTTGTCTTTTGTCACAAGAGCCTGTGGGCACTCCAGTGAGCACCTGCTCCCTCAACCCCCATGTCTTCACGCCTCTACCCATTCCCACTCAGACCCCTGTCTGGAGCACTGGGCTTGTTTCCAATTCGGAGGTGTGTTCTGTTATGGCCAGCTCTGCCTGAAGATCACTGCCTTCTTATCACTCCACTTTGTACTTCTGGCTGGCTAGTTTGTTTGTTTTTTCATCTTGACATAAACTGGACAGCTGGGAAAAGAGAACCTCACTTAAGAAAATGTCTCTTCACATTGGACTGTTGGCAAGTCTGTCTGTGGGCCAGCCTGGAACTACATATTAAGTTCCTGGACAGTCAGAGTTACAGAGAAATCCTGACTCAAAAAAAACAAAACAAAAAGAAAAACATAGCCAGCTGTTGGTGTATGCCTTTATCAATCCCAGCACTTGGAATGTTTGTAAGTTTACTCAGCCTCATTTATAGAGTGGGTTCTAGGCAGCCAGGGTGTCAAAGTGAAACCTAGTCTCAAAAACAAACAAACAAAGGCCAAGAGATGGAGGAAGTAGGATACCTTAAACCCTAGTAGAAAACTATTAAATTATCTGAAGTCATCTCTTACTTGAAAAGGCTCTGGATGCCATGGATTAAGCCAGAAACACTGATCCCATGCAGTCATTTTCCCTCAAAGAGATTTCAGGGCTCACTCCCTCCCCATTGTCTTGAGCTGAAAGTGAAAGATTCTGATTCTTATTTTTTTTTTTTTCCTAAAACAATATCTTGCTGTGTAACCCTAACTAACCACAGACTCACTATGTAAACCTGCTGACCTCCAATTTAGAGCATGCCTGCCTCATACTCTCAGTCCTGTGATTACAGGCATGGGCTCCTACACCTGGCCTGGTAACCACAGATGTAAAAGTCATCCTCCCAATTCCAACTCATTTTTATTAACTCCAAGTCAAACATGCATTTTCCAGCTGTAGTTTTAGTGGAGAAGTTCACTGGTTAAGTAATGCTCTCAATGGTGTGTCTCTAAGTTCAATATGGATCCAGAAAAAGTAGTCTTCACTAGAAGAAAAACAGATCTACAAAGAGTTAACAGCTTAAAGGGCCTGGATTAGTGTCTCCTTGGGCCAGCAGGAGGACAAGAGGATTGGAAGCAGGAGTATTAGAGACAGCAGGAAATCCAGAGGGAAGAACTGCACAGAACTCTCTGGAAGAAGCCAAGATTGTAAGTCTATATAGCTAATACATATTTATAATCTCTCATCTTTTACCCTGGATACCCTTTTTTTGTTTTGTTTTGTTTTAAGACAGGGTTTCTCTGTTTGTGTTTTTTTTTTTTGTTTGTTTGTTTGTTTGTTTTATGGTTTTTCCAGACAGAGTTTCTCTATATAACAGCCATCGCTGTCCTGGAACTCTTTGTAGACCAGGCTAGCCTTAAACTTACTGAGATCCACCTGCCTCTACTGCCAAGTGCTGGAATGAAAGGAATCTACCACCACTGCCCAGCACCCTGGATACTTTTGAGATAAGCAAAATAAGTGTATTCATTTTGTATCCTTTCACCAGCCTTGGAGATCCTGTCACTTTCTTAGGTCTGCTCCACATCCAAGTGTTTGGATGAGTGATGATCCATGCCACTCTTCTGTCCCCAGACCTTCCCCCCCCCCCCACTTCCCAGCGTTCTGCTGACCAAGGGCAATGTCTGGCTGGCTCATTCTCTCCTCCATACTCATTGTTTGTTTGTTTTTCACTTTTTGAGATGGGTCTTGCTCTGCACCCCTGGCTAGCCTGGATTTCACTATGAAGATGAAGCTAACCTAGAATTTGTGGTCATCCTCCTGTCTGCCTCCCCAGTCCTGGCTTTACAGGCATGTGCTGGCATACCACCAGGCTTCCCTCCACACTTCCCAACTAACTAATAACAGAGCAGATTTTCACAAAATTGCCACATTTTAACCTCTATTGCTCTTTTTTTTTTAATTTATTTACTTATTTTTTATTACATATATAATGTTCTGTCTGCACATCTGCCTGCAGACCAGAAGAGGGCACCAGATCTTACAATAGATGGTTGTGAGCCACCATGTGGCTGCTGGGAATTGAACTCAGAACCTCTGGAAGTACTCTTAACCTTTGAGCCATCTCTTCAGCCCTCTATTGCTCTTTCATTCAAAGGAGAGTAACTCCCTTTGTTGTTCTTGCTTGTTTTTTTGTTTGTTTGTTTTGTTTTGTTTGATAGGGTATCTCTAAATAGCTCCAACTGTCTGGAACTCACTATGTAGACCAGACTGACTACAAACTCAGAAATCTGTTTGCTTCTGGCTTCCTGTGCTGGGATGAAAGGCATGTAATATTGTACTCTGCTAAATCATTTTTTGGTTTTTGTTTTGTTTTGGTTTTGGTTTTTTGAGACAGGGTTTCTCTGTGTAGCTTTGGAGCCTATCCTGGAACCTGCTCTGTAGACTAGATTGGCCTTGAATTCACAGAGATCTATCTGCTTCTGCCTCCTGAGTGCTGGAATGAAAGGCATGCACCACCACACCCATCTAAAATATTATTTTTTGAAACAGTGTCTCACTGTATAGCCTAGATTGGCCTCAAACTTATTATCCTTCTGCCTCTTATTAGCATGAGGAGAGCCTCTTCCTCTAAATGCCCTCCAATCCTAAGCATGGCAGCCATCTCCATTCTTGCTTTCCTGAAGGTGCACTCACCCAGGGCATAGACAGACCATATTTCACAAATATGATAGCGGGGCATGTTGGTACAAGCCTTTAATCCCAGAACTCCAGAGACAAAGAGAAATGAGTTTGAGGTCTGGCTGGTCTACATAGAAAATTCTAGACCTGCCAGGAATATGTAATGAGACCCTGTCTCAAGAAAACAGTTTAAAAAGAAGAGGACTAGGGAAAAGTCAAGAGTTTTGACTTGGCCCCTTCATGGCATCTTCTCTCTTTCATTTATTTGGTATATATTTTTTGGGTTCCTATTGTTTTCTAGGAACCATTTTCAGGGACTATACAGGATATGTAAATGTAACAAGTTACATTCATTCTCTTCCTTCAAAGTCCTTATATCTTAGATGGGAGTCAGACAATAAAGAAGTGTAAATGAGTGACAATGATACTTGAGTATTAACAATGGGACAGAAGCTGGACAGTGGTGGCCCATGCCTTTGATCCCAGCACTCAGGAGGCAGAGGCAGGCAGATCTGTATGAGTTCAAGGCCAGCATAGTCTACAAAGTTCTAGGAACACCAGAGTTACCTACACAGTGAAACTCTATGTTAGGGAGAAGGAAAAAAAAAAAGGAATGTGACAGAGGTCTAGTTGAGAGGGATGGTACACAGCTTTAATCCCAGAACCAAGGAGTCAGAGGCAGGCAGATCTCTGAGTTCAAGGCCACTTTGGTTTACAAAGTTCCAGGACAGCTAGACTACATTGAGAAACCCTATCTCAAACACTCACATACACCCACACACCCACAAAGCATGTGACGGGGTAATAAGCAGAGTGAGAAGAGTAAGTGACAGGGAGACTGTGTACTTTAGCTGTCAAGATCAGAACAAGCTCTTTTGGCACATAGAAAGATGCTGAGGACTGCAGCTATAGTTCATCGGTAGAGGATTTATCTAGCCCAAATGAAGCCCTGGGTTTGATCTCTAGATCCCCAACCCCACCCCAAGAAAGAAAACAATGCCTAGAGACTGTGTAATAAAGAGGCAATCAAGTTAAAGGTAAGAGAAAAATAGTTCTGTCCTGCTGTCACACCCCATTAATCCTAACACTCAGGAGGCAGAGGCAGGCAGATCTCTCTCTGTAAACCCAAAGCCAGTCTCATCTACAGAGTGAGTTTCATGACAGCCAGAGCTATGTAGAGAGAATCTGTCTAAAAAAAAAAAATCAGCTGGGCATTGGTGACACATGCCTTTAATCCTAGCTCTGGGCAGAGGCAGATGGATCTCTGTGAGTTCAAGGCCAGCCTGGTCTACAGAGTGAGTTCCAGGACAGGTTCCAAAGCTAAAGAGAAACCTTGTCTCAAAAAAAAAAAAAAAAAAATCAGCCAATCAATCAATATAATAGTAAAGGAGCAAGAGAAAAAGCAGTCAAAGTTCAAGTGCCATGGAGACTAGCAGGAGAGTGATGACTGGAGCCACAGAGAAGACAGTAGTATGTTGTGAGCTGAACTCAGGAGGCACAGAGCCTGGCTCGGGGAGTGTGAGAAGGACACCGCTTTGTACAGAGCCTAAGGGACTTTGGCAGAGAGTTTAGATTTCATTCGAAGGTACTGAAAACCCCCTGGGAACTTTTAAGCATTGCATTATACATGTGGGTTACTTTATAAAGTTGCTATGAATGCCTTAGGGAGAACTGATAGAGGTCAGAGAGAGAAAACAGGGGGGAGCTTTAGGAAAACATGGCAGTTGAGGAAAGACACACAGGTACCTGAGTTGGCAGTGTTGAAGAATGTGAACTATTACTTGCGGAAGAAACCAGAGGACATGCTACTGGATGAGGGAAAGAGAGGTAGCAAGACTTTGAGACTGCTAGGATGCGAACACCACACATAGTGACAGAAATAGAGATCTAAGAAATTAGAGTTCTACTTGACAGGTTGAGTTTGAGATATCCAGGAACCATGCAAGTTAGGATGCTTAAAAAAAATCAAGTATCAAGTGAGGGTTGAGGCTGGAGACCCTCCAGATCCTCTTTTTGTTTTCCCTCTGAGACAGGGTTTCTCTCTGTAACAGCCCTGACTGTCCTGGCACTTGCTTTGTAGACCAGGTTGACCTCCAACTCAGAGATCTGCCTGCCTCTGCCTCCCCAGTGCTGAGATTAAAGGCATGTGCCACTACCCCACCCAACTTTTTCTTAAAGATTTATTTATTAAATACACAGTATTCTGCCTACATGTATGCCTGCACACTAGGAAAGGCCACCAGATCTCATTATAGATGGTTGTGAGCCACCATGTGGTTGTTGGGAATTGAACTCAAGTTCTTTGGAAGAGCAGCCAGTGCTTTTAACCTCTGAACCATTTCTCTAGATCCTCTGCTGTCTTCCTTCCTTCCTTCCTTCCTTCCTTCCTTTCATTCTTTCTTTCTTTTTAAACAATGTCTTGCTCAGTAGCCCATACAGGCTTCAAACTTTGAATCCTCCTGCCTTGGTCTCTTAAATATACCACCATATCTTGCTTGATTTAACTTTCTTTGTCTTTTCCAAGCTCTCTAGGAAATAGTACATGACTAACTTAACTTTAGTCACTATTCTGTGTCTGGTCCCATCACAGTAGCTAGGGGGACTAGGTCATAGAATATAAACTGCTAAGAGTCCACCCCTGTAAACTGAGAAGAGAGGGTTTACAGGCCCATTTCTCAGGGATAAGGGTTGGTGATTTGCTACCAGAATGAGCAGATACTTAAAATTAATAAAAAATGGTATCAATCCTATAATCAGAAAATTAATTTTAATTTGGAATAAATACTATCATTATTGCTGAGTGTATGGCCTTAGAGTTGTTCGCACTATCACAAATATAACTGGGATGTGTCAAAATGTTATCACAAAAGTACTGGGAACTTCCAGCAGGGTGTTGGTGGTGCATGCCTTTAGTCCCAGCACTCGGGAGGCAGAGGCAGGTGGCTCTTTGTGAGTTCGAGGCCAGCCTGACCTATAGAGCAAGTTCCAGGACAGCCTCCAAAGCCACAGAGAAACCTTGTCTCAAAAAATTATAATAATAATACCTACTACAATTTAGAGAGAACCTGCAGAAGACAGTCTAAAGTTATAACTTCATAAAGACTTTTTAATTTAGTGTCTTCTAGGATCTCTTACAGCCTGATAACTGAGGTAATGATACATCTACTGGACCATATACCAGAAGATCTGCCTGTTAGAGACACAGATGACTCGAGTCATCTGTTGGAAGGTAGGCATATCCAGTGCCTAGATGTGGCTGTCTTCACTGACTGAGAGAATACCCAGTCTGTCATGGTGGGACAATCCTGACAACTGTTCTCTTCCAGCCCTTTTCTTAAAATTTCTTTTTGTTTAAATGTTTATTTATTTAACTGTATGGGTATGCACATGTGTGTGTACCTGAGTGTATGTGTGCATCACGTTCCTGCAGTGTTGTGTTCATCAGATCCCCTCGAACAGATTGGTGGGTGTGAGTTGCTGTGTGGGTACTGGGAACTGAACCCAGTCCCTCTGCAAGAGCAGTCAGTACTCTTAACCACTGAGCCACTTCTGAACCTTAGATTCTCTTAATATTTTATTCTGATTCTGAGTGTTATGTTGGTGTGCATATTTGGAGAATAAACACTAGAGGCCAAAGGGCAATCTTGGGTGTTGGCACCTTCCACCTTTTGTTTTGGGGTAGGTACACTTATTGGCTTGGGATCTGACTATGTAAGTTATGTAGCTTGCCTGTGAGCTTTCGGGTATCCACTTGTCTTTGCCACTGCTGGGGTCACAGGCACACGCCACCATGACTGATGTTTTGTGTGGGTTCTGGAGCTCTAAACTCATATCCTCAGGCTTCTGAGATGAGCTTTCCCAACTGAGGCATCTTCTCAGCCATTGAAGTTGTTGTGTTGTTTTCCTTTCAATTAATTTACATGTGAAATGATTCTTGATGCCATGCCTCAGCTTCCAGTTCAAGAGGAGCCCAGAGATATGCGCTGGGCATGTACTCTTGAGACGAGTGCCGCTGCATTTTTTTTTTTTCCAGACAAACCCTGGAGCTAGAACTGGCTCTGTAGACCAGGCTGGACTCAGACTCACAGAGATCCACCTGCCTCTGCCTCCCGAGTGCTGGGACTAAAACGTGTGTGACACCATCGCCCAACACCCTTGGAATTCTTATAGTAAAGATTCTACCCTGAAGTGGGGATGTAAAAAAAGGCTTCTACATTTGTATATGGGGAACTCTTCTCAAGCATGCTGGTTGTAGTCCCACTGGTCCAGGAGGGCTTGTAGTTTCTGTTCACTAGCTGTTTTATATGTTAATCTATTTCTTCTTCTATTTTTTGAAGAAAGGTCTCACTGTGTTACCATGGCTGGTAGACCTCAACAGAAATCTGCCTGCCTCTGCCTCTGGAGTGCTGGGATTAAAGGCTTGCCTCCTCCCTCAACACCCCTCCAGGCTCACCACAGCAATTTGGTGTAGTTTCTATTCTGTTGCTTTATAGATAGAGACTGAAGAATTACAAGTTCAAGGCTAGCTTGTGTTACAGAGTGAGACCTTCTCTCAAAATCAATAAACAGGGCCAGGGTGACCTCAGCAATCAAAGGCACTTGCCACAAAGTCTGCCACCTGAGTTCCATCCCTAGCTTCAGAGTTATAGGCTGTTGTGAGTTGCCCACCATGGGTGCTGGTAACAGAATTTAGGTCCTCTGCAAGAACAGTATGTGCTCTTAAATCCTGGGCCAGCCTTCCCGAGAGCACCCCTCCACCATTTTTAAGGATATATGTCTATATATCTACATATCTAAATCTATGTATTTGGTTTTTCAAGATAGAGTTTCTCTGTGTATCCTTGGCTGTCCTGGAACTCACTCTGTAGACTAAACTATCCTCAAACTCAAATAGCCTGCCTCTGCCTCCCAAGTGCTAGGATTAAAGGCACGTGCCACTACATCCAGCTAACCTATGGGACTCTTTTTTTTCCCCTCTAGACAGGGGTTCTTTGTGCAACAGCCCATGCTGTCCTCATTCTGTAGACCAGGCTGGCCTTGAGCCCACAGAGATCTGCTTGCCTCTACCTCTCAAGTGCTGGGATTAAAGGCATATGCCACCAACGCCCAGTGAGACATTTTAAAATATTTATTGTTATGTCCATTGGTGTTTTGCCTGAATGAATGTCTATGTGAGGGTCTGAGGTCCCATAGAACTGAAGTTCAGACAGTTGTGAGCTGCCATGTGGGTACTGGGATTTGAACCTGGGTCCTCTGGAAGAGCAGGCAGTGCTCTTAATGCCTGAGCCATTTCTCCAGCCCATACTTGGCAAGACTCTTAAAAAATTAACAAATAAATAAAGGTCCAGGCTTTCATGGTGTACACCTTTAATCCTAGTAGTCAGGAGGCAAAGGCAGGTGGGTCTCTGAGTTTGAGGCCAGCTTGATCTACAGATCAAGTTCCAAGGACAGACAGAGCTACACAGAAAAACCCTATCTGGAAAACCAAACCTACAAACAAACAAAATAAAATAGAATAAATAAACAAGACAACATGTAAAATGTTCTCCAACTACTCTCTTTAGGGGCTTCAGGTAAGAGTGTGAAGTCTCAGTCACAGGTGGGCAGGATGAGCCAGGAGGAACGGAACTACAGACTCTTTCATCTTCATGAGGAGCCCATATTGGTGAAGGAACGAGAAAAAAGCAAAAGGTACCCAGAGTTCTTACCTTATAATTGCAAAAGCTGTGTGTGCAGCAGACTGACTCCACACTAAACAGAAAGGGTTATATTTTCCTTAGATGTCTGTCCCCAAAATGACTCAAACACCAAGGATGCTGGGCTCAAAAATATTTTGAGTATTGCTTTATTGTTTTTCTACCACACATCTCATAATTTAACACAGCCCAGAGCAGCCCAAGTAACCTTGGTGATGGCATGCATATCGAGGCACAGAGTAAGAGACTTGGCAGGTTCATGTTTGGCTGAAAGGGAGGGGATGAAGGCAGGGTGAACGGTAAAATCTTGGCAGAACAAGGAGGTTAGAGGTATAAAGAGGAAGTTTTCCTTTGAAAAGTAAAGATCAATAGACTCTACTGCATGCAGGCATTTTGTGTGTTCTGTACACACATGAACTGAATTTCTATTTGTTTGTTTGTTTGTTTGTTTGTTTTTCGAGACAGGATTTCTCTGTGTAGCTTTGGAGCCTGTCCTGGAACTAGCTATTGTAGACCAGGCTGGCCTCCAACTCACAGAGATCTGCCTGCCTCTGCCTCCCCAGTGCTGGAACTAAAGGCTCAAGCCACCAAAGCCTGGCTAGGCTATGGACTTTCAACAGTGGATCTCTGGGTACATCTAGGCAGGAATCTGAGATAGAGGTGCAGGGAGATACACACATAGAAGGATGGACAATCTGAAATCAACCTTTAAGACACTTTGAAGTGACACGCTGGTGTCAGGGCCTTCTAGCCAAGACCAACATTATTGACATGGTGTAGCTGGGTTTTTGTTGTTGGCCTGCCTGGCCTGGAACTTTAAGTAGTCCTCCTGCCTCTTAGCCCAAGGCTGGGATTACAGGAGACATCACACTCCAGTGGTCTCTTGCTTATTCTCATGTGTTAATGTTTCCTAAACAACTGTGGGGCTGAGCTGCAGTTAAATCTAGAGCTGGAATTATAGGCCTACATCACCAAGCCTGAGTCAGAGATTAATCTTTTTTGGGGGAAGGGGTCCTGAAACAGTCCTAGCTGTCCTGGGACTTGCTTTGTAGATCTGCCTGGCCTTGGACTCATAGAGGTCCATCTGCCTCTGCCTCCGGAGTCCTGGGACTAAGGGCTTGTGCCACCATCCTGCTCAAGTAGAGGAGGTTTTTTTTTTTATTGTGAATAAGAGTGAGAACATATTTAGAAGAGTCTTAGAGCAGAGAGAAGAGAAAGTAGAATGGGCATGGTCAGTGCTATCTTCTAGAGAAGCAGGAGAGCTCAGAGTGATGATTCTGATTATAAAAAGGAGGAGCAGCTGGAGGGAGGGAGAGACGTCCATTAGCTGGGGCAGGCCTGGGGGCTGGGGGGGCAGGGAGGGCGGGATACTGGCTATCATGGAGACTTTGAAATGTTCTAACAAGTACTGAGGGAGCTTCCAGGCCAGCTTGGGCTTTGATTTGCAATGTCAGGTAAATGTCAATGAAGAACTATGTGTTCCTTCTGCCAAAGACAAAGGAAATGACTCCTGGCAGAGGGGAATGGGAATGAGTTTTACAAGTTCCTGAGGAAGGAGTGCTGGCTTTTATCTAACCACCATGAATCCTTTTATAGTCCAGCTTGAACGGAACCAAGACTGTCATATCTGGACCTGGGGACTGCCTGAGACCTAACAATTGCATAGAAGTAAAAGCTTTCCTTAAGTTTAGTTTCTTAACATTTGTTTTTTTTTTGGGGGGGGGTTTGTTTGTTTGTTTACCTCCCAAATGCTAGGATTAAAATCATGTACCACCACTGACCAGCTAAAATTTGTTCCTTTTTTTTAACCAGGCATCTTAGGTACATGCTTATAATCCCAGCACTGGGAGGCAGAGGCAGGTGGATCTCTGAGTTCCAGGCCAGCCTGGTCTACAGAGAAAGTTCTAGGATAGCCAGGGCTACATAGAAAAACCCTGTCTAGAAAAGCAAACAAACAAAAGATCCATCTATAGGGCATTTTCTTAGTGATTGATGGGGAGGGGCCCAGGAGAGTCCAGCCCATTGCAGGTGATGCCCTTCCTGGGCATCCTCGGTGGTCCTGGGTTCTATAAATCAATCAATCAATCAATCAATCAATCAAGCAAGCAAGCAAGCAAGCAAGCAAGCAGGTAGAACAAGCCAAGGGAGCAAATTAGGAAGCAGCACTCCTCCACAGCCTCTACAACTGCTCCTGTCTTCAGGTTCCAGCCCTGTTTGTGAGTTCTTATCCTGACTTCCTTCAGTGATGGACTACAATTTGGAAACAAGGCAAATAAGCCTTTCCTCCCCAAATTGTTTTTTGGTAATAGTGTTTTATCAAAGCAATAGTTAACCCTAACTAAGACTCCAAAGCTGGAGCTAGCTCGAGGCTTACCGAGCTAGAATCAAGCAGTTAGTTGAACCTCAGCGTGGGTTGGTGGGTGGGGAAACCCACGTGGTCTATTTTGTTATAGGCGAAAGAGTACATTCCAGCAATCCACAACTCCCCAACCAACCCTGCGGGCACCTGCTGCGCTCCCACAACCTGTGAGGCAGCCAAGGTCCTCCTCAGTGCCTCAGCGCCCTTCGATTCCCAAGAAAAAATCGCGTCCACAGAGGCGGTGTCCCTCCAGCGCGGCAGGCAGCGTGCAGCCTCGAGTCCACGCGGGACGAAGACTGTCCCACACACCTGGTGTGTAACTGCAGCAGAAAAACAAGCAGAGAGAGGGGCGTGTTTCTTCCCTGCTTTATTCCTTTTTTGTTTGTTTTCCTTTGCTCTCCCCCATCCCACCCCTCCACCCCAAAGGTTTCTCTATGTAGCCTTGGCTGCCCTGGAACTCACTCTGTAGACCAGGCTGGCCACGAACTCAGAGATCCGCCTGCCTCTGCCACTTGAGTGCTAGGATTAAAAGCATGCCATGATCACTAGGCATTACCTGCTTTAGTCTACCCACCAGCCCGTGGTTGCTATCTCACCTTTCTAAAAGCATGCCCCGCCCAGCCTCCGCCCCGCCCCCCCCCCCAAGCCTGGTACAAGTTTCTGAATTCACTGCTGGCATGTGGCTCAGTGGCTTAACATGCTTGACTGAGGTCATAGGTTAATCTCCAGGACCACCAAAAGACAAATAAAACAACAACAATAATGAAAGAAAACAATCTTGGAACTAAACAAAACCAAGGGGAGAGGATAAAGAGTAACAGTGGCAAGGAATCAGAGGGAAGAAGGGATGATTCTCTGGGGGAAGCAAGGGAACCCACCAAAGGGGTGGGGGAGGCAAAGGAGGAGATACAAAGCAGTGGTATGTATGTACAACTACAGAGAAACCCATCATTGTGTATGTTAATCAAAAAATGAAACATTAAAACAAAATCAGGACTAGCCAGGCATTGGTGGCACACGCCTTTAGCCCCAGCACCCAGGAGGCAGAGGCAGGTGGATCTCTGTGAGTTCGAGGTCAGCCTGGTCTACAGAGCAATACAGAGAAACCCTGTCTTGAAGCGCCCCCCCACCAAATAAATAAATAAATAAATAAAACTATCAGGACTGCCAGGCACCAGGCACGTTGGTGTGTTCTTCAATCTGAGTGCTCCCCAGGCAGAGGTAGGATGAACTCTGTGAGTTCCAGGCCAGCCTGATCTACAGAGCTAGTTCCAGAATAGCCAGAACTAAATAGAAGATCCTGTCTCAAAAGAAAAGAGTGAAGGGGAAAAAAGAAAAAACAAAACAGGGCTGAAGCAATGGCTCTGCGGTTGAAAGCAAATGCTGCTTTTAGCAGAGGACTGGAGGGGAGGGAGTGGGCAGCTCAATATGGAGGCTAACAACCACCATCGACAGCCTTTTCTGGTCACTGTAGGACCCTACACACATGACCTATAGTCTCACTTAAATAACAATAATAAAGATCTTAAAAATCAACAGCTGGCCAAGCATGGGGGCTTAGGCCTTTAATCCCAGCCTTTGAGAGGCAGAGGCAATCGGATCTCAACTCGAGGCCAGCCTGGTCTCAAAAGACCAAAAAAAAAAAAAAAAAAATTAAAATCAACAGCTGGTTTCTATACTCTCCACTCCCTATCCAGAGTTAAGAGGCTGCGGGATCTCGGAAAGTTTGGGTCATCCTGCCCTAAATAGCAAGTTCCAATCCAGTCAAGAGTCCATAGTGAGACCCCAGTCTCAAAAAATAAAACAAAAAATGAACAACTCAGTTTCTAAAGGATTTTGCCAAAGACAAGACAAGAGTGCAAAGAACAAGTTTTGCTGGTGAAGCCCACAGCAGCGTAGAAAGAAGGTATGTTGAGCATTAGGACTATGTTTACACTTGAGGGTCTGACAGCCAGGCGTGAGGCTGGGAAGCCAGGGCTTGCAGGACAACTGGGCCTCTATGCTTTGATTTTGAAGAACAGGACTCCTTTGAAAACATGACTATATTTAAGGCCCTTCTCCCAAGAAAACTTGGCATACACACAAATTCCACACAATTCTGTAGGCTCAGCTTTTCCCTGAGTACAGACAGTCCTGGCTGAGGTCTAGAAGCTAGACAGCAAATGATCAACGTGGATTATACTTTCTCTTCCTGGACTCCAACTGGCTGAGTCTGAAGTGTCTTGGCTCAACAGCAGCCTCCAGAAGACAGGTAAGTCTCCAGAAGGACCTAAGTTAGTGAGGAGAGCCTGAGTAAAGGAAGGCTACAAACAACATTTTATTAAATGCTCACATTATTGCTAAATGCTCATTTAGGTTTTTTGTTTTGTTTTTTCAAGACAAGGTTTTTCTCTGTAGCCCTTGCTGTCCTGGAACTCACCCTGTAGGCCAGGGCAGCCTCAAACTCAGAGATCTGCCTGCCTCTGCCTCCCAAGTGCTGGAACTAAAATCATGTGCCACCACTGCCCCGAAATACTCACTTGTTTTATGTAGCATGGTTCTATACTTTTAAGTCCTATATTCCAGATAAGGAAATGTTTGTGAAAAACAGCAGAAAAAAAAATAGTCTAAATTTTAGTCCTGAGCCAGGCATCACATTCGTCATTGCAGCACTCAGGAGGCTGAGAAAGGATTGCTGCTACCAGTTGCTGGCTGAACTGGACTTCATCGTAAAACCCTGAATTTAAAAAAAAAAAAAAAAAAGGCAATGCCTTTAATTCCAACACTTGCAGAACAGCCAAGGCTACACACAGACACCAAACCAAACAAACAAAATGAAATAAATGAGTACATTTAAGCATGATTGAGCATCTGTTAGGAGCAGGTTAGGGCTGGACACACATCCTGGCTTGGAGCAGCGTGGATCTTTCTTCTTTCTTCCCACTTGCACCCACTCACTGAAGGAAGGCATTTGCCCCGTGAGTGTATGTAAGAGGAAGGCCAATTGTCACGTAAGGATCTCCCCCCAGAGGCCAACACTTGATGTCCAGGTTTTGGCATGTGGTGTTCTGGAAGGTACTGTGGCTGCATCTCACAACTTTTTCTGCCTAAACTTTCAGGGCCAAAAGACAGGCACAGCTATAAGGTGCCTCCCACATTCAAGGGCTATTTGGCAGATGAAGCCAACAGACTTGAACTCACCAGTGAACCCAGCCAACTGTAAGTTCCTCTTTCGAGTTCCATGTTGTTACCTAGTGGGAAATAATATCATTTAAGGACCAGTGAATGTGGCTGATATCCAGGATAATCAGAGAAAACAAATGGGAACTGTAAGTCAAATTTCAACTTCTTTGTTCAAAAATACAATACTTGAGCCAAAAGGATGAGTATTCCTTTAGTCCCAGCATACCTGCACAGAGACAGGTAGAGCTCTGTGAATTTGGGTTTATACAAGTTTATACAAGTTTATACAAGTGAGGCACTTTCAAGATTTACATTCATATTTATATTTACTTATTATGAATGTAAACATATTTAGATTAATATTTATATTTATAAAATAAGCATTTCTTTGTCCTATGAGGGAAAAAAAGCCCTTTTCATAATGCTAATCCTGAAATTTTCCAAAAAACAAAAACCAGTTCCATCATTTTGGCCAAATTTAAGCAAGGTCTTAAAGGTTTTAAAAGGTTTTAAAACTGACCAAGATGGAATTTGGTCAGGACCATCGTCTGGAAACTTTCCAGGTCAAGGTCAGTGGCCCCAAGACACATGTTGACTGGGCTCTTATGGACAAAACCATAGGCCACTGTACTTCCTTAAGAGGCTTTGTTTGTTTTTGTTTTGTTTTCCTGAGACAGGGTTTCTTGGTGTAGCTTTAGAACTTGTCTTGGAACTCAAACTGTAGACCAGGCTAGCCTAGAACGCACAAAGATCTGCCTGCCTCTGCCTCCCAAATTCTGGGATTAAAGGCATAACTAATGGCTTCTTTATTGTTTTTCTTTTCTTTTTTTTTTTTTTTTTTGTTTGTTTGTTTGCTTTTTTGTTTTTCGAGACAGGGTTTCTCTGTGGCTTTGGAGCCTGTCCTTGAACTGGCTCTTGTAGACCAGGTTGGACTCGAACTCACAGAGATCCACCTGCCTCTGCCTCCCGAGTGCTGGGATTAAAGGCCTGTGCCACCAATGCCCAGCTGACTTCTTTATTTTTTAAGAACTACAACTCCCAGAATCCCAGGAGGTTACCTGGTCCCTGGGCAGGTGGGGCTTACAGATTAACAGAGTTCCCTTTCCCTTTTAGTTTTTAATCTATGTTGACATTTGCAGGTTATATTTTATAAGATTATCCTCTTTATCATTAAGGTAACTAATGTTCTAACTTTATGGTAAGTAAATAGCTCAGTATTATGCCCTAGAAAAATTTCTATTTCTCCCTTTTTTGTGATTAATCTTCCTCTAATTATAACTGATTCAGGCTAAATTCCTTGGTCTATGTATGTTTAACAGTGTTCCCGTTATGGCTACTACACAAGTAGAAGAGCCACCCAGGTCTCCTGAGAGAGTGCCCAGAGATGAAAAGCTTGCTCAGAGAAGCTCAGTGGAGTGTGCTCGGAAGGCTGTAGAGCTGCGGTAAGACCTAGCATTCAGTGCCTCAACCCATACTGAGTAGAAACAGTTAAGGGTTTGGTTTTGTTTAGTGTTTTTTTTTTTTGTTTGCTTGTTTTGTTTTGTTTTGTTTGTTTGTTTTGCAGCTTTTCTTCACCTCCAAGGAAAAGAGACTTTTTAGGAATAGAGTCAATCTGAGACATAGACTTGTAGTATCTAGTAAGTTAAATAAATCCTGCATATAAAGAGGTAGGTGTGCCAGGCTTTGTGGTGAACAGCTTTAATCCCAGCACCCAAGAGGCATAGGCTAGTGAATGGCTGTTGGAGGCCAGCCCGGTCAACACAGAGAATTTCAGGGTTACACAATGAGACTACCTCTAAAGAGGGAGGAGATGGGTAGGGGAAGAAATAAATTTCTCCATGTAGCCTTGGCTATCCTGGAACTAGCTTTGTAGACCAGGCTGGCCTTGAACTCAGAAATCCACTTGCCTCTGCCTCCCAAGTGCTGGGATTAGAGGTGAGTGCCACCATTGCCCAGCCCCCCAGAAAAAAAATTTAATGTATTTAACTTTGGATTTTGTGCATGAAGATATCAGATCCCCTGGAACTGGAGTGACAGACAGCTGTGACCTGCATGTAGGTGCTGGGAATTGAACCTGGATCCTCTGGGAGAACAGCCTCTTAACCCCTAAGCCATCTCTTTAACCCGTCCACCCAAAATTCTTAAAGAATTAATAAAATATAAAAAGAGATAGGCAGAGTACTTATCTCTTTAATGAGATAATACACTCCTCCCCAGACTCCTCCTCTCAGTGACATTTTCTTGAAAAGCCCAAAGCATAACTTTTCCTTTTCTTCATCCTATCTTTTTTTCTAAGCACGTTTGCCCTGGCATGTTGGGCATCACTATTTCTGTAACGCCTCCTCCTCACTATGTGGCTAACCTATTTTTTAGTTTAATTAAATTTATTTAAATTTATGAATGTTTTTCCAGAGGAGTTCAATCCCCTGGAGTTACAGATGGTTGTGAGCTGCCACATGGATGCTGGAACTTGAACCAGGTCCTCTGGACGAGCATCCAGTGTTCTTAGCTACCAAGCGCTCTCTCTAGCCCCTTCATGCCCTCTTAACTCAAATTGGTATGGTGTTTTTCCTTCTCTCCTCCATTCTTCTCCTTTGAGCTCTCCTGCCCTGAAGCAGCTTCCCTTTAAATCCTAATAAAATTGGGTTAGGGTTAGAGACAAAAGGAATGAAGGAAGGAAATCCTGCACAAGCCTGTCCCACCTTTAAAAAATATTTCATTTTGCTTTTATTATTGTGTGTGTATGATATGTGTGTGTAGTTGTCCAAACACACAAGTACACATGTGATGACATGAATGTGCAGGTCAGGCGACAACTTTCTGGAGCTGGTTCTTTTATTTCATGGGAACTTTTTATTTCTGGGAACAGTTTCCCAGAACTGAACCCAAGTGTCTGGCTTCCATGGCAAGGTTTTTAACCTGCTGGTCTAAGGATTGGGGATTTAGCTCAGGATAGAACCCTTGCTCAAGGGCAGAGATGGCTTGCCTCTACCTCTGGAGTGCTGGAATTGAAGGTAAGACTCACCACACTCAGCAAAGAAAAATAGAAAAGACTAGGGAGATTAGCTCAGTCAGTGAGCTACTTATCACACAAGCATGAGGACCAGGGTTTGGAACCCCAGCACCCACAGGAAAGCTGAGCATGGCAGCATGTACCTACAATCCCAGTGCTAGGGTTTTGGAGACAAGGGACACCATGGAGCTCATTGCCTAGCCAGGTTCTGTGTGAGAGACCTTGTCTCAACATATAAAGTGGAGAGCAAATGAGGAAGATACCTAGCGTCAACATGTATGTGTGTGAGCATGAGTGTGAGAGCAGACACATACCACATGGAAATGGACTGTATTGCTTAGATCAGTTTCTTAGTTTCATAGCAAAATTGCATAAGAGGTGCATACCCACATACCCCTGTCTCCACAGCCTTTCCAGTTTTTTTTAAATTTTTATTTCGATTCATTTATGTTTTATGTGTATGAATGTTTTGCTTGCATATGTCCATGCACCATGTGAGTGCCTGTTGTGGAGGTCAGAAGCCTACTAGGTTGTACCCACCTACCATGTGGATGCTGAGACTCGAACCCCAGTTCTCTGTAAGAGCAACAAGTGCCCTTATAGCCAAATTTCTTTATTTTTCAGATTTATGTGTTTTATGACTGTAGGAATGTTTTGCCTATAGATGTTAGTGCACTATGTGTGTCTGATGCCTGAAGAGGCCAGAAGAGGGTGCTAGATCATTTGGGACGGAGGTTGACTGCTGGTTTAACCTGGGACTAGAATCTGTGCTTCCCAAGAGGGGTAAATGCTCTTTACCACTGAACTGGAAGTGATGCCTTTATTACAAAAATTAACTAACAGCTGGAACTGGTGGCACATGCCTGTCATGAGCAGTTTCCTGCCAGCCTGGGTCCAGAGCCGCGTCAGCCCCAAATAACACAGAGATGCTGTATTAGATATAAAGCTGTTGGCCTGTTACTAGCATTTATTGGCTAGCCCTGTCTTAAATATTAACCCATTTCTATCAATCTAAGTGTTTCCATGTGGTCTTATCTTACTGGAGAGAGGGTCCAGACCTTTTCTCTGAAGTCCCTACATCTTGAATCTCCCCTACTACATCTCCCAGAATCCTCCTTGTCTCCTAGTCATGCCTATCTTGCTTTCCTATTGGTCAACAGGGCTTTATTCATTAACCAATAAGAGAAACATATTTACAGAATGACATCTCCCATTACACACCTTTAATCCCAGCACTCTGGAAGCAGAGGCAGGTTCATCTCTGTGAGTTCGAGGCCAACCTGATCTACAGAGTTAGTTCCAGGGCAGCCAGGACTGTTTCACTGAGAAACTCTGTCTCTCGAAAAGCCAATAGAAAAAAAAATGTGTGCCATAAAATAACTTTCTGGCTTTTTGTTTTGTTTTATTTTTTTGAGACAGGGTTTCTTTGTGTAGCTCTGGCTGTCCTAGAACTATCTCTGTAGACTAAACTGGCCTTGAACTCAAAGAGCTGCCTGCTTCTTCCAGAGTAATAGGATGAAAGGTGTAAAGGTGTGCACCACCATGCCCAGATATGTAATTTTTTTTTAAGGGGGGAAAAACAGGCCAACTTGGGTATATAGTGAGATGTGTCAAAAATGTAAATTAAATCAAATACCCAGAAACATCACTCCCTAGCTTTGGAATAGCCTTCGTTTGTCTCTATATTCATGTTTCTAAAGAAATCAGGCATATATTTAGTTGGACTCTGTAAGATTTCTGAGAAATTGTGAGAACTGTAATTTTAAAAAAGTTACTATGTTTTCTTAGAACTCAAGGTTTAAGATTAATGGTCCTCAGATCTCAACTGTCATAATTAAAAACAGGAGAAAAAGGGGCTGGAGAGATGACTCAGAGGCTTAAGAGCACTGGCTGCTCTTCCAGAGGATCAGAGTTCAATTCCCAGCAGTCACAACCATCTATTATGAGATCTGGTGCTCTCTTATGGTGCACAGACAGAGGAAGGATACATTGCAGATTGTGTTTCTACTTCCAGTGTGTTATGAAGGAACAGAATAGGCAGCAGGAGGAGGTCCTGGGCCCCAGATGGAACAGTTCAGTGTCTTCTATTTACAGAGCTTCCATTAAGGAGAATGTGGAGCTGATCCGACTTAAGAAGCTCTTATATGAAAAGAATGCCTCGCTGGCAGCCACAGAAGCCCAATTAACACAAGTTCAAGAGGTGAGCTGCCATAGTCAGCTGTGCTTTGTAGAGAGGGAAAAGCCAATTAGTTTTTGCATGTAGCAATAGGTTCATTCCCTAGTACTGCAACAAAGGGGACCGGGTAGGGGGGTTACTTAAAAAAAACAACAAAACAAACAAACAAAAAAACCCACAACAACCTAGACAGTCTGTGGTAATGTTTGCCTTTAATCTCTGCACTGGGGAGGCAGAGGCAAGTGGATCTCTCTACAGACATACTTCTAAGACAGCCAGGGATACACAGTACACAGAAAAACCCTGTCTTGAAAAGCAAACAACAACAAAAACCCCAAAATTTGTTCCTCCTCCTCCTTTCCTTCTCCTTTCCTCTACTTCCTGTTCTTCCTCTGCTTTGTATCTACCCTCCTCTTTGTAATGGGCACTTATTCTGTAACATAGGCCAACTGAAACTCACTGTGTACCTCAGGCTAGCCTCAAACTTGCACGGTCCTTTCTTAGTGCCCCCAAAGCTGGGATTCCCGGTGTGTCCACCACAGCCATCTGTCTTTTTCTGTCTTACATATGTGAGACCATAATTCAAGACACTAAGTTACTTATCGAAGGGCATATAACTTCCTGGTGGTATTCAGAGTCTATTGTTCTCTCATCGTTTCTCTGTTATGGAAAAGACTCAGGCTCTTGCCCACTAAGGTGGAATTTGGCAGGGTTAACTTCTGTCAGGGTTCAGGTCCCAACCAAAGTAATCAGATTAATAGACATGGGTTAATTTAAATGTAATGTCTAGTTAGTAATAAGCCTAGGTTATCAGCCAAACACTCTGTAATTAATATTAAGCTTCTGAGTGATTATTTAAAGGCAGCTGTGGGATGGGGTGGGACAGAGAAAACTCCGTTTACAAAAGCAGATGAAAGTACACACAGCAGTGAGCAGTGAGGGGTTACACTCCAAAGAAGACAAGTAACTGGGTCAAGGTGTAAAAGAGTAAGAGGCAGAAGAGGATTTGATTGAGGCTAGTACCACAGCTTCCCCACCACCAGGTTAGAAACTATGATGAGAATGGTGGAACCAGGACATCAAGGTCTAAATGAGATGTCAGCACCATTCTTTTATTGAACTAGTATGGATAGAGTATTAAAACTGTGAAAAGTCCTAAGATAGAAAGATTACACTGGCAGAGTTGTTTCTTTCTAACCCAAGTTGTTTGAACTAGAGACCACAGTGAAGAGCATCACAGCTCTAGTCTCCAAGGTCTCCAAGGCCATTACAGGAGTGAGAGTGTGGCAAGATCACAGAACAGCTCTATATGGGTTATGGGAGGTGTAACGTGTATGGGTTTTTCCTCCTGCTGCCAACTCTTGTCCTGCCGCCACGCCACCAGCCCCAAATAATGCACAGAGACTCTGTATTTGATATTATACTGTTGGCCGGTTACTACTTTCTTATCGGCTAGCTCTGTCTTAAGTATTAACCCATTTGTGTTAATCTATGTATTTCCACGTGGTCTGCCATACTGCTTTCTCCTGACTCTCCATCTTGGCTCCTCCTTACTACTTCCTCTTCCTCCTTGTCTCCTAGTCCCTCCTATCTTCCTTTCCTATTGGCCAACAGTGCTTTATTTATTAACCAGTATGAGAAACATTTACAGAATGACATTTCCCATCAGGGAGGTATCAAAAAAGGAAGTGATCAGGCCCCCAGTGGCAGGTGTAAAAGAGAAAAGGCGTCATAAATAGGGATTGGAGTGATGGCTCAGTGGTTAGGAGCACTGGATGCTCTTCTAGAGGACATGGGTTTAATTTCCAGCAACCACATGGTGGCTCACTACCGCCTTTATCTCCAGTTCCAGTGGATCCAGCTCCTTTCTGGCTTCTGCAAGTACCAAGTATGTCGTGGTGCACAGACAGACACTCTGGCAAAATCTTATACATACAATAGAAAATAAATTTTAAAACATTCTAAGAGGGATAAATAAAAGGATTCATTCATGAACTACATTCTGAAATATCACAAGAGTATCATGCAGCATCAAGTGTGCAAGAAAAAGAAAGAATTTCTAGGGAGATGAATGTGGACACACTGAAGGTTTAGGTCCTAGCACCTGTCTGGTAGGAATTTAGGCCTGAGCATGTAGACAGTGGGCAGCTGGAGAGGGAGTTTGAACAAACCTATCATAAGATCAATGTCTTCTCTCCAAAAGATCTCATAGCCTTTGAAAAGCTCTTTGAAATACATTTTAGTACGTAAGTAATATCTTTTGGAAAATGGGTACAAAGTACCAATAGTTACTAGTTACCAATGTAGGTGCCTTTTTGTTTTGTTTTGTTTGTTTTTTTCGAAGACAGGGTTTATCCCTGTACCTTTGGAGCCTGACATGGAACCCACTCTGTAGACCAGGCTGGCCTCGAACTCACAGAGATGGCACAGGCATGTACTACCATCACCTGGCCTGTGGGAGAAATCTTGAGATGTCTCAAGAATTGCAATAGCTCAAGGTGATTATCAACAACATAGCAAGTCTGTGACTAGCCTGGACTATATGAGATCCTGTCTCAAACAAACAAACAAACAAAAACAAAAACTAAACAAACCAACCTAAACTAGGAAGGGGCTGAAGAGATGGCTCAGAGTTGAAAGAACTTGACCTTGTGGAGGATCCAGGTTTGATTCCTAGCACCCACATGGCAGCTCACAACTGTCTGTTACTCCAGTTCCAGGGGATCTGAAACCAATACAAAGACATACATGCAGGCAAAACCCCAATGTACAGAAAATAAATAAGTATTGATAAAAAAGAAAATAGCAAAATTATAGGAGAACAGAATAAGGCTAGAATGGCTGATACAGGTTGTAGACACAGAAATCCTGTAGGATTCCAGGACAGGAGAACCATGGAGATTAGATAAGGACCCAATGAGAAAGAAGCCTGCAGAGAAAGGGATCTTACTTTGGTAAGTCCAGGACACAGAAGAACAGGCTATGTCCCCAAAAGGAGAGAGAGTGAGGGCAATGGAGAAATGGAAGGTGGCTTCTGGATTCCTGCTTTAGGTGAGTAGAAGGTAGTGACATCATTCTCTTTGGTTGGACCTTTCTGCATTCAGCACTGTCTAAGACATGGGTGCTCTGCTGTGGCATATAATATATCTTTTCTTTCCCCTTCTCTCCTTATGAAATAAGGTTTCTTTGTGTAGCATTGGTTGACTTGGAACTTGCTTTGTAGAACAGGCTCGACTCAAACTCATAAAGATCTGCCTGCTGCTGCCTCGCAAGTGCTAGGATTCATATTTATCTTATAGAGATGTCAAGTATCTCACAAAATTGGTGAATTGGTAAAATAATACTTACTTATTTCTTCCAGGCATATGAAGACTTGCTCCAGAAGGTAATTTTTGTTGTTGTTTTTTGAGACAGGATCTGTAATAGTACTTTTTCATCAGCACCACCAGCCCACAAATAATGACACGGGGACTTATTATTTTTAAACTATTTTTCTGTGACTGTTACCATTTTCTTTTCTTCAGCATCTAAGTACATTTTTGGTTGTGAGCCTAGCCTTTAACTGCTGAGCCATCTCTCCAGCCCATCTAAGCACATTTTTAAACATACATCTGTTTAGAGCTTTTCTTGGTCTGAACCTGACTTTATTGTATACTTGCAGCATTCTCTGACCACATGAGATGAATCTCCAAGGCCCTCAGCAGCACCGGCAGCTGGCTCTGCCCACTTCGGGTACTCCTAATAGTGTCAGCTACACCTAACCCTCCCAGCTCTAGGAAGCGGCTGTGTCCTTGCTGTGGAGGCATTAGTATCTAGTCTCCTGTGACAAAGTATCATTATCAGCTGCTCATAGCAGGACCTCTTAAACAAGCTGTGCTTCTGTACACTTTGAGCATTGGGCTCTGTGTATGTGCCCCTTGTTGGGAGCTAAATGTAGTCAGATTTTTCTTTGGGCTGCCAACTTGCAAATAATGACCTGGAGACTTATTATTAATTATGAACACTCAGCCTTAGCTTAGGCTTGTTCCTAATTATTTCTTATAACTTAAATTAACCTTTTTTTTTTTTTAATTCTACATTCTTCCACAAGGCTTGTTACCTTACCTCCATACTGTTCATCCTGTGTCTGATGACTCTGCCTTTCTTTTTCCCAGAATCCTCTCTGTCCCTAGAAGAAGTCAAGAAGTCTCGCCTAACCTTGGCCTGCCTTGCTATTGCCCATTCAGATCTTTTTTTTTTTTTTTTTTGAGACAGGGTTTTCTTTGTAGCGTTGGAGCCCTAGGCACTCAGCACTCAATCTGTAGGTCAGGCTGGCCTTGAACTCATAGAGATTCGCCTGCCTCTGCCTCCCAAGTGCTGGGATTAAAGTTGTGCACCACCACACCCATCCCTAAGTTCTTTAAATCTATTTTTGTTTTGTTTTTCAAGACAGGGTTTCTCCATTTCTCTGTATTGCTTTGGAAATTGTTCTGTAGAGCAGACTGGCCTGGAACTCACAGAGATCTGCCTGCCTCTGCCTCCTGAGTGCTGGGATTAAAGGTATGCACCATCAACACCCGGCTAGATCTATTTTTTAATAATTTACTGATTATTTTTATTTTATGTGCATTCATGTTCTGCCTACATGTTATATGTCTGTGTGAAGGTGCCAGATCTTCTGAAACTGGAGTTACAGACAGTTAGGAGCTGCCATGTAGGTGCTGGGAATTGAACCCAGGTCCTCTGGGAGAATAACCAGTTCTCAGGAAGAGCAGTCAGTGCTGGTAACCACTGAGCTATCTCTCCAGACCTTTAAATACGTTTTTAGCTGGGTGGTGGTGGCACATGCCTTTAATCCCAGCACTCGAGAGGCAGAGGCAGGCAGATCTCTATGAGTCTGAAGCCAGCCTGCTCTACAGAGTAGGTTCCAGGTCAGGCTCCAAAGCTACACAGAGAAACCCTATCTCAAAAAAAAAAAAAAAAAAAAAAAAAAAATCTATTTTTAGTAATCAGAGCAATCAAACTTAAAGTTATATTGTTTCCTCCTTTTTCTTTTTTCTTTCTTTTTCTTTCTGTTTTTGATAATATTGTTCCTAATAAGATGAATTATGCTATTACTATTACAAATTCTATTTATTGTCTTTTTTCCTCTTTTTTTTTTTTTTTGTTGTTTTTTTGAGACAGGGCCTTGCTTATAGTTTCAGAAGCGGAATCCATTGTCATCATGGTGGTAGTTTTCATAATGGTGGGAAAATGGCAGCATGTAGCCACATATGGTGTTGGAGAGGTTCTACATCCAGATCCCTAGGCAGCAGGAAAAGACAGAGAGCCACTGGGCCTGGCTGGGGCTTCTGAAACCCCAAAGCCCATCCTCAGTGACATAACTTCCTCTCACAAGGTTGTACCCACTGCAAGAAGGCCACGTCTCCTAATCCCTCTCATGCAGTACTACTCCCTGATGACCAAGCATTCAAAAAATATATGAGCCTACGGAGGCCATTCTTATTCAACCTACCACATGGTCTGTGTGGCCTCCATCTAAGAATGCTGGAGTTGTTGCTGTCTGGGGACCATTCCTACTGATTGGTATGATCATTCCAAAGGAATTTCCCTTTGTCTGCAGAATCAAGGGGTATTGAATGCAACCCATGATGCCTTCCTCAGCCAAGTGAATGAGCTCAAGGCAGAGCTGACAGAAGAAAGCAAGAAGGCCATGAGCTTGAAGATGCAACTGGAAAATGTGTCTATCTTGCAGATAACGCTGAAGGAGGTAAATACTAGTAATGAAAAGATGCCATAAAATGTGCCATATTCCGGGATTGGGAGCAGCTCAATTATACAGTACTTGCCTAGCACATATAAAGGCCTATGTCTGATCCCCACGCAGGTGTGGTGCTGGGTACAGTGTCAAACACCTTCAGTTCCAGCACTTGAGAGGCAGGGGCAGGGGATCTCTGAATTCAGTCTGTCCTGGTGAAACCTTGATTCAATGCGAAACAAGTGTTGACATACATCTGTAATCTCAGCAGTCTAAAAACAAGATGGTGAGATATTCAAGGTCTTCCTTTGGTGTATAGTGAGCTTGAGACCAGTTTGAGGTACATGATAAACAAAAATAGTTGTGCTAGGCCTAGGCTAAGGACCTGAGGGGGGGACATTGCTTTTTTTTTTTTTTTAATTATTAAAACTGCTGCATTCTAACTTCAAGATGTTAAAAGTGAGCAACATAGCAACATATGGCTGTTCCATGCAAACATTTATTTTACATCTATTGGTGCGTTGCTTGCCTGTCAAGGATGTTAAGGCGCAGGTGTGAGTCCACTCAGGTCCTTTGAAAGAAGACTGAGACACTTTAAGAATGAACTTAGTCTTTCACAGCTACAGGTTCCCCAGCCTCGTTGGACTGAAGCGCTTTCCCTATGCCCAGGGCATTTTTATTTTTCCCTATATTTACACTTTAGCCAGTGGATTACTATATGCTCAGAACAACTTGAATGAAGCTTTCAAAACTTCAATGCCAAGTGCAAAGTCTTGATTCATCAGGTACCACAGTTTTCCAGGTCTCCTGAACCAAGTTTTGCATAGACTTTGTATCCTTTGGAAACTCTTAAACAAAGGTCACATAGGGAGACAAAAGGTATCCCCTCAATAAGGATGGATAAGGGTAGGTGCTAGCTCTCTGGAGCTAGGCCAGGTGCAGCCCAGCAGGGGTTAGGGCTAGTTAATAGCACTCTGGTGCCAGGGCAGTAGGATTCTGCTACACTTATCTGTATGCCACATTAGTGTCTGGTATCTGCTGAAGTAAAAAAAAAAAAGCATCGGATCCCCTAAAATGAGGTTACAGATGTTTGTGAGCCATCATCTGGGTGCTGGGAATCAAACCCTCTAGAAGAGCAGCCAGCGTTCTTAGTTGCTAAACTGTCTCTCCAGCCCTGTTACTTAATTTTTTCATATGAGAACAGTGAACTTCCAAAGTGGTTAAAACACATAGTTTAGAGGATTGCAACATTTGAGAATTTATACTTGTCTATTTTCTAGAGTCTTTTTTTTTCCTTTTTCTTTTTTTTTTTTTTTAAGATTCATTTATTATGTAAACAGTGTTCTGCCTGCATGTATGCCTGCAGGCCAGAAGAGGGCACCAGATCACATTACAGATGGTTGTGAGAGCCACTGTAGTTGCTGGGAATTGAACTCAGGACCTTTGGAAGAGCAGGCAATGCTCTTAAGTACTGAGCCATGTCTGCAGCCCCCTCTTTTTGAGGCAGGTTCTCACTGTGTAGCTCTGGCTAATCTGAAACTCACTCTGTAGACCAGGCTGGCCTCAAACTCACAGAGATCTTGCTGTCTCTGCTTCCTGAGTGCCAAGGTTAATTGTGTGTATCACCAGGATTGGCTGTTTCTTTTTTCCTTACATTTATTCATTGTGTGTCTGTATGTGCAAGTACATAGACCACAGCTCAAGTGTGAACTTTTGAGTTAGTTTTCTCTTTCTATTGTGTGGGTTCTGATGGTCAGACTCAAGTTGAGGGCTGTGTGGAAATCTCCCTTATCTGCAGAGCCATCTCACTGACCACTTTTGTCTTTTATAATGCATTGTCATTTCTCTGATGGTAGGAATACAGATGTAAGAAAGCCATCTCAAAGAGAGTTCACTAATTCCAATAAAATTTCCCAGTTTACCTCCAATTGGCCCCAATCTTTGTTTTTTGAGAGGGGGTTTTATTGTGTAGCCCTGGAGGTCCTGGTGCTTGCTCACTCTGTGGAGTAGGCTGGTGGCAAACTCAGGGATCTGACTGCCTCTGTGCTGGGATTTAATGAGTGTGGCACTGCCAGACCAGTCTTTCAAATGACACTTTGTAGAACCAGTATGGAAAAGCCCATGCCATGGAATGCAAAACCAGCATGGTCTCAAGGATTCTATCATTCTAGTTTCAGGTCAGAATTGAAGATTTGGAAAATGAACGAAAATTGCTGAGGGACAGTTATGACAAACTCTTAGAAAAGTAAGTACAAAGTCCGGTCCCAGAGCACTGCTTTCTATAAGAGAGTCACGGAACCTTACAAACTTTAAGCAGACTGAATAGGTGTCACGCACCTTTATCCCAATGTTTCAGAGGCAAAGGCAGGCAGAGATGGAGGACACAAGACCAGCCTGGTCTACAGAGTGAGTTCCAGGACAGCCAGGGATGTATATAGAGAAAGCCTGTCTCAAAGAACAAAACAAACAAACAAAACAAAACAAAAAGGAGAGATAACAGTAATATTCAAAGGAAAACCAAGTTGTAAACCCTGCCCTGGCTTATTTGTTTTAACATGCTGAGACTATGCAAAGTAAAAGGGTACCTTCACTTTCATTTTAGGTCTTAGGTCTTTTATCACCTTCCTTCCTTCCTTTCTCTCTTTCCCTTACTCTCCCTCGCTCTCTCTCTTCTCTCTCTCTGGTGGTGGTGGTGGTAACACATGCCTTAATCCCAACACTTGGGTGACAAAGGCAGACCATACTCTGTGAGTCAGAGACTAGTCTGGTCTATAGAGTAAGTTCCAGGACAGCCAGGGATACACAGAGAAACCCTGTTTTGAAATGTTTTTTATTTATTTTTATTTCATGAGTCTGGAAGTGTTGCCTACATGTGTGCCTGGTATCTGCCTCTGGAGACTAATGGAGGGTGTTGAATCCCCTGGAACTGGAGTTACAGATGGTTGTGAACCACCATGTGGGTGCCGAAAACTGAATAGGTCTCCTGGAAGAGCAACTGGTGTTCTTAACTGCTGGGCCATCTCTCCAGCTTCTTGTTTTAATTTTTCACAATAAGCATACACTCATGTATTAATTTTGTAATTAAAAGGGTCTAGCTGGGCCTTGTGGCACAGGCCTGTAATCCCAGCTACTCAGGACCTGAGCCAAGTTGATCACAAGTTCAAAGCCTACCTGGGCTACAGAATGAGTTTGAGGACAACTTGGGCAACTTAATGGGACTCTGTCTCAAAATAAAAGCAGAGTGATGGCTGTGGGTGTTGGTTAGTGGTAGAACATTTTCCTCACTTGTGAAGTCCTGGGTTCAATTCCCAGTTTAAAAAAAAAGTACATAGATTTTTTTTTTTTTTTTTAAAGCAAAATGCCTTTTGTCCAGCAAAGGGAGCTGGGAGTGCAATCCTGCACTGTGATCCCAGGATTTAGGCAGCTGAGGCAGGAGAATAAAAAGTTTCAAGCCAGAAATATAATGCGATAAAAAGCAAGTAGCAGAGGAGAGGTCCCCAGGCAGCTCCAGCTTGAAGGTCTCCTGTGGCATTAACTGCTGCTGGTCCTTCTATCACTTAGAATATTTACCATCTTCTTGGGTCTTTAGGTGATAGATAATGCAGCAGGGGAAGGCTTTGAACTCTCTGTACATCCAAGAATGACCTTGAATTTCTGCTCTTCCTGCCTCTACTTGGTCTATGCAGTGCCAAGGACTGAACTCAGGGTCTTGCCTACCCTAGGCAAGAAAACTTTTTTTTGGGGGGGGGCACAGGGTGCTGCGGTTACAGGTGTGTGTCACCACTGCCCAAACAAGTTGTTTTTAAATGGCATTCATTCAGAAATAGGGTTTTTTTGTTTGTTTGTTTGTTTTTTTGAGACAGGGTTTCCTCTGTGTACCTAACCATTGTCTGCAGTCCTGGAACTCACTTCTATAGATCAGGCTGGCCTTGAACTCAAGAGAATCACCTGCCTCTGCTACCCATTCCCAATGGCTGGGATTAAAATGTGTGTGCCTCAATTGCCAGAACATGGTGTTTTGTTTTTTTTTTTTTCTTTTTTTTTTTTTTGGCTAGGATGTTTTTAATGTCAGTGTCATTCCATTTGTATAAATTACTAAGACGTGGCCTTGCATGTTCTATATCCAAGGCAGGTCTAACCCTAAATAACGTGGGATGGAGGGGCAGGTGCTGGAAAGTTCATTTTTGTCCTTGAGTGTAGCAAGTAGTTTAAAGGCACGTGTTTTCTAAAGCAGTCATTGGCAAAGGCAGATGAGGGGACAGACAAGGTGAGAAAAAAAAAAAAAGCTCTTGCTTCTCACTTCTAACTCAGGAGGTCTCAGCATGCCTTAACACATGGGCTGTGTAAGGAAAGCCATCGTGTTGGAGAAGTTCCTTGAAGAGTGAATGATTGGGGTGCTAGCATAGTGGAATCCTGGAGACTTAAGTAGAAGTGACACTGATCAACTCCTCAATGCCACCCAGAAGTTCTAAAGCAGTTGGCAAATGACAGTTACAAATAAAGCTGGGGCAGAAAAAACATGTGAAGAAAGGAATGATCAACTAGGTCCCAGAGATGCTGAAACTGTGTAACAAAGACGCTGTAGCATACTCCTTTGAGGGTCCACCTGACACCGTGCCTCCACTTTTCAGCATGCTGGACAGCAGTCATCCACCTCCCTGGAGCAGTGAGCACACCAGAGAGCAGCTACCGCAGCCAGCCAGCCCACTGCAGGACCAACTGGTCGCTGGACTGGAGGAAACAAAAGTCTTATTCCAGGAAACCAACAAGAACGGTGGGTCAGGTCTGAAAGAGCCTGTGTCTGGCTTAGGAGATGGGAATTTGCTCTACCTTTCCAATATCCCCACATGATGCTGTATTTTGTGGGTCATCAATAACTAGAACTAAAACATGGGCAACCAGGTATTGATCATGCTAAAAGCAAATTTCTCACCCAGTGTGGTAATTCACACCTTTAATTCCAGTGCTCTGCAGACAGAGGCAGACAGATCTGAGTTCTGGTACAGCCTGGTCTATCTAGTGGGTTACAGGAAGCCAGGGCTATGTAGTGAGACCTTGCCTCGAAATACCAAAAGGAAAGAGAAGGGGTAGGGAGGGAGAGAGGAAGGGGGAGGGATGGAGGGAGGGAGAGATAGAAAGAGAGAGCATATTTCACATTTCACTTCCTGTCTCTTTTTTCCATTGATTCGATGCTGGAGAATTTTTTTTTTTCCTTCTTCCTGAGACAGTAGTTTTGGAGCCTGTTCTGGAACTAGCTCTTGTAGACCAGGCTGGTCTTAAAGTCACACAGATCTGCCTGCCTCTGCCTCCTAAATGCTGGGATTAAAGGTGTGCGCCACCACCGCCTGGCTTGGTGCTCGTGATTTTTAATGGAGGGGCCTCATACATGTTAGACTGGTGATCTACACAGGCACTGTCACCAGTTCCCACCACCACCACTTATCTTTTTCTGTCCATTTGTTTTTGAGACAAAGTGTTACCATGTGGCTCTGTCTGACCTCAAATTTTCAATCTTTTTCCCTCGGAATTCCATATGGATTATAGACACACATGCACTGCTTTGTAGACCAAGCTGGCCTCAAACTCACAGAGATCCGCCTGCCTATACCTCCCAAGTGCTGGGACTAAAGGCATGCTCCACCAACGCCCTGCTTTTAATCTGTCTTTTAAACAATGTCATGAAGACTGTGCTCTTCATCTGGTCTCAGATCCTGCTGTATAGTCTTTTCAATTTGTCCTTAGATCCTAGTTTATTCAAATAAGAAAATATAGGAAAAGAAGCATGATACAAGGGCAATAGGGACCTTTGCCTTCCAGGACATGGCAGGAGGATCAAGAGTTTGAAGCTAGCCTGGGCTATGCAATGAGAGTGTCTGTCTGAAACAAAAGAAAGCAGCAAGAAGGAGTGAGCCTTCGTACCTGGCAGTGGTAGTGCATGCATATTGGGTTTTTGAGTCTGAGGCTAGCCTGGTTTATAGAGTGAGTTCCAGGACAGCCAGGGCTATAGAGAGAAACCCTGTCACAAACAAACAAGCAAACAAATAAACAGCAAGAAAGGAAGAAAGAAAGAGCTGGGTTTGCTGGTGCATGCTTTTAAACCCAGCACTCGGGTGGCAGAGGCAGGTGGATGGATCTCTGCAAGTTTGAGGCCAGCTCGGTCTATAGAGAGTTCCAGGACAGGCTGCAAAGCTTCAAAGAGAAAACCTGTCTTGAAAAACAAAAACAAAGTAAGAGCCTTCAAGCAGAAGCCATAAAATAAGAAAGTGTGGGAGCATAACCCAAGCACCTTGCAGTGTGCAATAAGTACAAACTAAGTCTTACAAGATCTGAGGAATTCTCATGGAACTTCCCTGGTGCTCCCTGAGTGCTCTGCATCCTGAACAGCAGTAGCCTTCCTTCCCTGAGACACATACATAACTCCCAGCCTCCCTTGAGTCAGGGAGGGTATGGAGATGGGGCTACAGAGAACAAATGGCCAGAAGTCACAATGAAGAGAAGTTGGTGAGAGACTGGCTTGGATTGTGCTATCAAAAAAGTAATATTTGGTGGGGCATGGAGCTTGGTTGATAGAGTGCTTTTGAATGCATAAGACCCTAGTGTTCATCATCTGTTTATCCCCTCTACCCCCCCTCCCCACTCCCAGACCCTGGACAAAAGTACTACGGGCCCGTCCCAGGCAGCCATGCTGTTTCCCTCTCCATCCCACAGTTCCTTGGGTGTTCTTCTACCATCTTGGCTTTACCTCAGAAGTACAAGTGCTACCTCCTGTTGCCAGGGCCAGCAGGCTATAGGTCCTTTTGTGTCAGCAAGATCCCTCTTGCTTTTCTGTATAAAATGAAGCCTTAGAGCAAAACATTATTTCACATCATACTTGATTCAACTCCGCGGTTGCTGATAGCTGGTTTAAACTCTCTGGATTCCCTTTTTCAGCAGCCCAAGATGAAGATCTGAGGCTCAAAGTCACCAACATCTGTTACCAGCATAAATGGGAAGAAGAGGGACTCCAGACAACAGCCACAGCGCCCCAGTCTCCAGAAGGGCTATCTGAACCAGCCTCTCAGCCCACTCTGCTCCTACAGAGAGATCAGAGAGAGGTAAACAAGTCACTCTACTGAGAGGTTTCTGGCAGGGAAAAACTAAAGGGACAAACTGTCCTGGTTGAGAACTGCATTTGGAAAGTGCCGAGGAAGCTGATAGGTAGTTTTGTGAGCCCCACCTGGTACTTGCATGCATTGCAGCTCATAAGAGGGAGATTCTTCTTTATTTTTCATTAAAATTTCAAAAAGATTTATATATTTTATTTAATATATGAGGCTTGTGTTTGCATGTATGTCTGTGCACCATGTGTGCATCAGTGCCCATGGTAGTAGAATAAGGCATTAGATTCCCTAGAAATGGAATTATGAATGGTTGTGAACTACATGTGAACATGTAGGTGCTGGGAACCAAGCCTTGGCCCACTGCAAGAGCAGTAAGTGCTTTTAATCATTGAGACATTTCTTCAGTCCTTTCGTCTAGTTTTTAAAGATTTATTTACCTTTGTTTTATCCATATGAGTGCTTTGCTTGCATGCATATATGTATCCCACATAAGTGCAGTGCCCACAGAAGTCAGAAGAGGACACTGAGTTTTCTGAAACTAGAGTTATAGACAATCGTGAGCAGCCATGTGGGTTCTGGGAACAGAGCCTGGGTCCTCTGACGGAGAAGGCCTGGGTGAGGAGCAGAGCCTTTATGAAGTGAAACACACCTTGTAGGTCCTGGAGGAAATTTGCTGCTGGTCTTGTACAGCTGTCAACAGCTGCTTGAGAGAGAAGGTTGTGACATACCATACCTGTCATGTTTATTCTTGCTTTTGCCACTGTTTTCACTCTTTAGTTCAATGAACCAAAAGCTCCAGAAGAAAACCTGTCTCAGATGCTAAGCGAGTTGCAAGTGTCGCACGCAGAGACCACACTGGAACTAGAAAAGACCAAAGACATGCTCTTTCTGCAGCGCAAAATCAACATGTGTTATCAGGTGCAAGGAAAGATGAATCAGGAAAAGGGACAGGAGGCTGGGTGTGTGGGACCACACCCCCACACTGGGAAGCAAGCAAGGCCCAGGTTTTTCGGGCTGGTGGTTAGGGATGTGCTGCCCATGGAAGAACTTGAGGACTCACACATGCCCAGGTACCCTGGCCCTACAAGTCAGCTAAGGGGCAGCTCATGAAATGGCAAGTGCTAAGCTTCTGGGCTCATTTCTCCCCAGAGCCTAGAGGAATAATCACCTTAGGGTGCTGCAAGTGCAGCTAGGTGTGGAGGTGGTTGGGAATCCTGTGCTTTCTTCCTGGGTCAAGCCCACCCTGCTGAGGAGGTCGTGGTCTGCTTCCCCGAGCAAGACCCAGTTTTAATTAGAACTCTTTGGATCTGTACCACTGAGAGGGAAGTTCAGTTTTTACTTTTTTTCAGGAGGAGCTGGAGGCAATGATGACAAAAGCTGATAATGAAAGTAGGGACCACAAGGAGAAACTGGAGAGGTTGAATCACCTCATAGACCTCAAGAACAACCGCATAAAGCAACTGGAAGGTATTTTAAGAAGCCACGGCCTTCCAACATCTGGCAAGTCTTTCTTAGTTCTTTGTTTTTAATCTTGGGTGATGTCACGCGACTAACATTGATCTACCCGACTTTTTCTCTCCTGCTTTCTTCCTCTCATCTCTTGTTTTGTTTTTCGAGTCAGGGTTTCTCTGTGTAGCTTTGGAGGCTGTCCTGGAACTTGTTTTGTAGACCAAGCTGGCCTCGAATTCACAGAGATTCCCCCTGCCTCTGCCTCCTGAGTGCTGGGATTGAAGGTGTGCTCCACCACTCTAGGCCATCTCTGGTTTTGATACTCGGTTTGTTACTTCTTTTTCTTCATCTGGTCAGCGTGAGTCTGGTTTTTCTGGGGAATTTCAACAAGGCCAGTGATGCTTCCAGGTGGTTGGGAGAGTGTCATTAAGGATGATCCTGAGGTTGGTGACTCTCTTCTTCCTTCTCTGTTATTTCTTCAACAATGCCTATCAGCCTCTAAGGCAGTTCTTGCCAGGTAATAAATAGGTCTTTGACACTCATTTCCTGTCAGTCTTTTCTGTGATGTCTCTCTGTGCTGCAATGTAAGGATGTTATCAGAGGCAGGGGAGGTTCTACCCAGCGTGTTTCCCGTTCAGGTTCTTCTTATGTAGTTTAGTCACTTCAGGACAGGGTCTCAACCTTCCATGTCTAGAAGCAGGCTTTGTTATTATGCTCAGTGCGGAGAAAGGTGACTTAACCTGGAGAGACTCACCGCAGTCTGTACCTTAAAGCATAATACAAGTTACTACCATCAGCATAAGGGGAGCCGCTGCGGACTTAGCTGTATTATTTCTTTTTTCTTTTTTGTTTTGTCTTCTCCTCCTCCTTTTCCTTCTCCTTCTTTGTTTCTCAAGAGGGGTTTCATGGTATAGCCATGGCTGTTCTGGAACTCACTTTGTAGACCAGGCTGGCCTCAAAATCACAGAGATCCACCTGCCTCTGCCTCCTGAGTGCTGGGATTAAAGGTGTGAGCCACTGAACCTGAGAATTTTACTTTGTAATATAGGCTGGCCTCAAACTTGCAATCCTCCTTTCTGTTTCCTGAGTACTGAGAGTACAGGCATTCACCACCACATTTTTTTTTTCTTTTTAAAAACATTTATTTACTCTGTCTGTGTGTGTGTGTGTGTGTGTGTGTGTGTGTGTGTGTGTGTGTGTGTGTGATGTGTGTGCACACATGTGTGAGGCATGGTACACTTATGGGGGTCAGAGGACAACCTGTGGGAACTGGTTCTCCCCTTCCATTGGGTAGGCTCTACAGAATCAAGCTCATGTCCTTAGGTTTGGCAGCGAGCAGACTTACCTACTGTGCTGTCTTGACACCTCTCCCCTACCCACCATTAGACATGAAGACACTGGGGGTGCTGGACAGGTGATTCAGTGGTTAACAGCAGTTGTTGCTCTTGCAGGGGACCTGGCTTCAGTTCCCAGAATTCACATGGAGGCCAACAGCTATCTTTAACTCCAGTTCCAGAAGATCTAGCAATCCCCTCTGTCCTTATGGGCACATGTGGATTCATACATATATTCTGGCAGAGCACATAAAATAAACAAATCTTAAACAGTTTTTATTTACATAGGTGTTTTGCTTGCATGCATGTCTGTATATCTTGTTTATGCTTGTAAAGACTGTCAGTCCAGTAGAACTGGAGTTTCAGACAGTTATCAGCTAGTTACCTTGTAGGTACTGGGAAACAACAGTGCTCTTATTGGCTGAGCGATCTCTCCAGCTACCATCACAACCCATTCTTTTAAAAAGGATTTATTTTTAGTTTAATACACACACACACACACACACACACACATGCATGTATGTCTGTATGGAAATATATGCACATGTGTGCAGGTGCCTACAAAAACCAGAAGAGAATGTTAGATCCTTTGGAGCTAGAGTTACAGGCAGTTGTAAGCCACCTGACATGGGTGCTGGGAATTAAAATTAGGTACTCTGAGTTATCTCTCCAGACCAATAAACAAACAAATGAATAATAAATAAATGAATGAATAATAAATAAACATTTCGATATACACACAACATTTTTATTCTACTGATTAAATCCTTCTTTCTCCTCCTCCTCCTTCTCTTCCCTGAGACAGGGTTTCTGTGTGTAGCCCTGGCTGTCCTGGTACTTTCTCTGTAGACCAGGCTGGCCTCAAATTCACATAGATCCTCCTGACTCTGCCTCCCAAGTGCTGGAATTAAAGGTGTGCACCGTCACTGCCTGGCTAGATTTAACTATTAAAGTGAAGTATTCACTGTCAGCACACTGTAAGCATTCAGATGTTCCCAGTCTGAAAAGGTTTCTGATTGGTTGGGCTTAAGATCAACATGCAGATTTGGTTCTGTCTCCGAATCTTTCTTCGAATCGACAGCATTTTTAACCTCTTTCCTGTAAGTTTTCTTTCTTACATTTTAACTTGTTACCCTTTGATTCAAAGTGGATTTCTTGATCTCTTGTAATGAAATCAATTTTGAACAGAGAACAAGGAGCCCTCTTGTATCCGAGCTGGTTGGCTCTAGGCATCCTTTCCAGGTGGCCGGGGATGATGTGATAAATGCTGTCACTTCTTAATCTCTCCAAGGCTGACATACAGTTTATTAGAAACATAGTTTATAGTTTATATTTCCAGTGCTTCTCCTTGGGAGTAATCTGTGAATTCACAGTCCCTTGATGCGAGTCAGTGGCACCTGTGTGGTGGCTTGCATTTCCTGGGTGTAGTGTTCACTTCCCAGTCCTCACTTTGCCTTTCCTGTGATGTGTGGGGCAGTCATTTGCCCTTTAGAATTCATTCAGAGCTTCGGCTGCCATTGTATTGCCTTTCCTCTTAAATTGTGTGGCTTCTTGAAATAGTCTTAGCTTGGACTTACATGGTTTCTTTCCCTCCCATTTATCCTCCACACCCCAGGGATGAGCTCTCTCCCTTTTAATGCATAGGCAGTATTCTTTCCCCTGTAGAGCAGCTCAGAGACGTTGCTTACGGCACCTGGCAACCGTCACTGTGTCTGGAGTCTATGCCAGCCCACAGAGGTGAGGATGAAGTGGACATTTCTCTGCTGCGTCAAAATGAAAATCTTTTTGAACTGCACATTCATCAGGCCTTCCTGACACCTGCTGCCCTTGTGCAGGCTGGAGACACCCGACCTACCACTTTCTGCACTTATTCCTTCTATGACTTTGAAACCCACTGCACCCCACTTTCTGTTGGGCCACAGCCCCTCTACGATTTCACCTCCCAGTTTGTAGTGCAGACAGATTCCCTTTTCTTGCACTACCTTCAAGGAACTTCAGTCCGGCTCGATCTGCATCAGGCTGTGGCTAGTGAGCATCATATCCTTGCCACTGGATGGATTTCATTTGGCAAGGTGCTAGAGACTGTGGAGAGAGTCCATGGCTCAGCTGCACTTACTGGTAAGTGCCTTTGGCTTCTTGTAGTTCTTAGGACTAGAGGCTTTGGGAAAACAAAGAATTGTCAAAGCCTGTAGCTGCTTTCTGGTGTTTCCCCCTTTTCATCTTCTGCCGCCAGGCTGGCCCTGGACTCATGGCAATCCTCCTGCTTCAGCTCTCAAGCGCTGGGATGTCAAGGCATTTCAGCAGCCTGGTTTCTGTTCTAGGCTTGACTTTTTTTTTTTAACCACACTATTTTCCATGCCTTCCATGCCTTTTGCTATTCAGGAGCTGGTGGAGAAGACTTGGGGGTGTTAGAGTACTGGATGAGGCTGTGCTTGCCCCTAAAATCCAGTCTCCAGGCATGCAATAAGCAAAAGAAAGCCCAGGCCTACCTGTCAGTCAATGTGCTTGGAGCTTGGAAGGCCCAGAAGGATGAGGTGAGAAAAAAGATGTATTCATGAACCCTCAGGTCATCAGCCGGCGGCCCTCAGAAAGGGCTTGCTCTCCTGTTCCCAATGAGTATTGGTGAATGTGAAATGCTGCTATAGCAAAGTCAGTCCAAATTCTTCCCACGGTCAAAGTTGAGCAGAAATGAACTTGTGTCCAGGGTTAGATATTATTCTTTGCTGTGACCAAATCAGCTTTTCTCTATCATTTCTTTTTGTAGTTGTAATTTTTTTTTATTATTATTTTATGTTTTTGGTTTTTCCAGACAGGTTTTCTCTGTGTAGCCCTGGCTGTCTTGGAACTTACAGACCTCTAACTCACAGCGATCCTCCTGCCTCTGCTTCCTGAGTGCTGGAACTAAAGGTGTGCGCTACCACTGCCCAGCTGTAATTGTAATTTTTATTGCAATTAGTGATCAGCACTGAGATGGAAGGTAGTCTGTGGAAGGCTATGCTTCCAGATACTGCAGTTGGGTAGGTTTGTCAGAATTTCCTAGTAAGGGAAACTGGGATGCAGTTTCCCTTATTGGGGACCGGTATCCCCACCCAGAGCTCGCACTCTACACTTACTTCAAAGTCACGGCCCACTTTTCGCCCTGCACTAGGCATCTGGCCTGGCAGTTCCCTCCTGCCATGTCTGTTTTAATGAGCTTGGTGAGCTTCGTGTGCCTGTATGTCAGTCTTCCTCAAAGTTGGAAATCAGGGGCCATTAACCTTCAGATATTCTTTCTACTCTAACCATAGCCTCATGCCAGCATTCCAACTATTACAGCCTGCAACACTCCCTCAGGGACTACCTGTTGAGTTCCTTCCATTTTGGTCACAATTTTTTTTTTTTTTTTTTTACTCTCTAAGCTAACTATACTGCTATAGTTTTACTGACTTCCTACAAAATAAAGTCTAATATTCAGTTAAAATGGATAAGCAACATACACTTGTTTGCTGTGTTTGTACATGCCATGGTACGCATGTCGAGGTCAGAGGATAACATGCAGCAGTCATTTCTCTTCTCCTAATGTGTGGGAACAGGGATCAAAGCTTGCTCTGTTCTCTCTGTCATTCAGTAGAGGAAGCTGGAGGAAGAGCATGCCCCTGCAGCCACCAGAGCTAGGGACAGGCAGACGATGGTCATCAGGCTTCCTCATGACCTGGCAGACTAGGTTTCTAGACAACCATTCTTCTTCCTATGCGGCCTGTACTTATAACAGCATCTCAGGCTTCCCTGAGTCCAAGATCAACATCTTTCCAGTCCAGATCCGAGACTTGGACACCTAGGAACGAACTGCGGATTGAAATCACCGGGTGCTGTGGCCTCCGGAGCCGGTGGCTGGGAACTCAACCCAGTCCATATGCCATGTATCGCTTCTTCACCTTTCCTGACCATGACACCAACGTCATCCCAGCCAGCAACAATCCATACTTTAAAGACCAGGCTCTGTTCCCAGTGCTTGTAACCTCTGACCTGGACCAGTATCTGAGGCAGGAGGCCTTGTCTATATACGTTTTTGATGATGAAGACACAGAGCTGGGCTCCTATCTTGGCCGAGCTCACATACCCTTGCTGCTGCTGGCACAAAACAAACCTATCAAAGGTGGGCGTTACACATTTTGGAGCTCTTCCCAGTGTCACCTCCCTGTCCTTACTCAACTTGCCTTGCTTACTTGCTTAGAATAGTCACTCTTCCATTTAAAAAAATAGTATTTTTAATATGTGTGTGTGTGTGCATGTGGTGAGTCTGTGAGTGAGCATGCCACCATATACCCTTGTCAGAGGACATCTTTGCAGAGTCAGTTCTTTCCTCCCATCATTATGTGAGATTGAATTCAGGTTCCTAGACTTGTGTGGCAAGCACCTTTTCCTGCTGAGGCATGTTGGGCTGGAATAGTCTCTCTTAAAACCTGAAAGGACTCTGGGGTGTTATCCAGACATTTACAGCTGCCTTGCTCGTGTGAAAACATGAGCTCCTGCTCCTTTGAGCTACACAGTCAAGATGTCCAAGAAGCTTCAGCCTGAAGCCTGAATTCCATACCTCTATCTCTGAAAACATTTTTTAAAACATGACGTCTTGTGCTTTTAATTCCAGCACCTGGGAGGCAGAACACAGCCTGGTCTACATAGTGTTCTCCAGGCCAGCCAGGGCTATATAGTAAGACCTTGTCTCACAAAACAAAAACAAACAAACAAAAAAACCAAACAATTATAATAGGACCTCTTCGATGTTTCCCACCACTTGCCTTTGTTTAAAGACTTGTTTCTTCTTAGTTCCATACTAGAGATTTACGCATAACTTAACACTCTAATCTCATTGCTTTTCAAACATTAGAGATGGCCAGGGCAGATGATAACAAAAGCAAATTCCAGTGACCTGGATCTGAGCTTTATTGTACCTTATTTGCTTACTCAGGGTTGTGGGGGTATGCCTAGGAGAGGCTTGGTCTGGCTTCTGTCTGGGGAGAGTTGAAGCAGTGATTTCCAGACTTTCAATAGACAGTATATCCAGGATAGGCAGTGTCAACCATACTTAACAAGATTCTGAGTGCCCTGGGAGTATGTGAGGCCTGTCTCTAGCCAGTGTCTTTAAAGAATAAGACCTGACACTTAGCCACCTGCTAAGTGGGGATACAAGCAGAAATTTGCCCCTCAGGACAAAGCCACTTTGCTTGTTTTCTTGGTACCACTTGCATAGGTGGTAGTTTTCTGGGGATGACTACACCATAGTAAGTACTTAGTGACAATAAAGATGATTGCATCATGGTCACCAGCTGGATGGCTGGTGACATGCAAGCTTCGTTCCTCTCCACATACCTTTTGATCATCTCTTTCTGAAGCCGGGAAATGCCTGTCTTCCTCTTTGATGCTCTCACTGCACTGCTGCTTTATGTTAATTTTGTATACGTTGTGAATTTTAGCATGTTAATGAATTACTAACAAACGCAATGAATTTTTAAGTGGGAAGAAGTAGAAATGATATTCATAAGTACTCACTAGCCTATCTCATGAGACCAGGGATGACCAGTTTCTCTGGGTCTCTAAGGTGATTTTGATCTCATGGACTCTTCGGAGAAGACCAGCGGGTCCATCAAAGTGCAACTAGACTGGAAGTCTCACTACATGCCCCCAGAGGTCCCCAAACCAGAAGCTAAGACAGAGGAGAAGGACACCAAAGATAGCTTGGAGGCCTCAACCACCGAGGAACCAGTTCCTTTTCTTCCCCAGGTAACTAACTCTCTAGAACCTGCTGGACAGAGGACCTCTCTACATATGCTGTGAAGCCAATCGGAGAGAATAGTCTCAGGGCTGGAGTAAAAGAAAATCCTTCATGAGCGCCATGTGTAATCAGAAGCTCTTGCTGGAGCAGAATCTCAGGCCTTACTATATGGAGGGGCAAGAGCAGGGGAGAAGGACACACTCCTTCTCATCGTTTAAGGCTGTCTGTCTCTGACTCGTCTCTTCAGGACCAGATGGCATTGACAGAGATTCCCATTGAGGCTGGCCAGTGTCAAGTGAAGAGAAAACCTCCTCCAGTAGCACAGAGGAAGGAAAAAGAGCATCAGGTTGCAAGCTATACAAGAAGAAAACACAGTAAAAGGACAGGTGTCCAAGGCAAGAACCGAATGGAATATCTGAGCCGTAACATCTTGAATGGAAACACACTGCAGGTAAGATCCCAGAGACTAGGGAGAGCAGAACATCGGCGGCCACCAGAGGGGAGGAGCGGCGAAAGCAGGAAGGCCACAGTGCCTCCAAGTTGCTTCCACATGCATGTCCAGCGCTCCAGGTGGTTGCCTCACATCTTTGTAATATAGCCCAGCACATTAATGCTATGTACACTGTAATCAAGGCTTGGAACGCTGATACCGTGTGTGCTATGAATTTCTTTAAACGGGGCTGGAGTTTTAAAGTCTGAAAAGGCTAGCCTTAAGAAAGGAAAGTGAGATATTACATCACTCATGCAGTACTCCTGTCCTTGCTCTGAAGCAGGTGCATTACACTGAGTGGAAGTTCTCAGGGCTCAAGCTGTCCCAGGATAATGGCTTTAAAATCCAGGACAAGAAAGAGAAAAGTCTGCCATCCCATCCAGCACTGAGACAAGAAGATCCCTCATATCCTACAAACGGTATCGTCTTTCTAAGATTGAATTTTTCTATTTCATTGTGAATTCTTTTCCTTTTAGAAAGTACCTATTTTTTATCACTCTTTTTTTTTTTTTTTAAAACTTGTCAGTGTATGCATCTGCCAGTGGATATGTGCTTGTGGATTCTGAGTACAGGTATCTGTGGAGGCTGAAAACAGGGTGTCTATTTTTATTGCTCCTATTGAACATTATAGGGGAGATTTTTTGGGGGGAGGGGGAGACAGGGTTTCTCTGTGTAGCCCTGGATGTCCTGGAATTCACTCTGTAGACCAGGCTGGCCTTGAACTCAGAGATCTGCTTGCCTCTGCCTCCTGAGTGCTGGGATTAAAGACATACACCACCACGCTTGGCATAGCACAGATTCTAACAAGTGAAACAAGGGGAGGAAAAATAGTCAAAACTACACAGGTTGGAAGACAAATAGTCTTATCTTTACTTGCAGTTGAAAATTCACCCAAATAAACCATATTTTTATATATTAACAATAAGCCATCCAAAGAAGAAATCCAAGAGACAATCCTTTTCATATTTAGGGATATATTTGACAAAAGAAATCTAAGACCTATGCAGCGAAAACTACAAAGACTCTCAGGAAGACAATTGGGATGGCTTAGGCAAAATCACCTGCCCAGCCTGAGGCCCTTAGTTTGATCCCAAGAACCCACATAAAAATCAGATGCAGCGCTTCACCCCTGTAATTCTAGCACTCCTACAGCAAGATGGGAGGCAAAGACAGAATTACTTGGAGGCTCTTGTGTGAGACCCTGCCTCAAAAAAAAAAAAAAAAAAAAAGATGGAAGTAAGTAGAGAATCAACTCCAAAGAAACAAACAAATAAATCAATCTGTTTTAAAATGTTATCTGGAGTAAGTACCATCTACACTTAACATAAGTGCATGATGGTGCACACCTTTAACACACGCGCCCAGGAGGCAAAGGCCAGTGGATTTTTGTGAGTTCTAGTTGGCCTCACAAAGATATACCTTAGGGGAGGGCACATGTACTCTACCCTTCCATCAGAAGAATGTGGTAGGCATGTGAGAGGAACAGAGGGTGGCACTGTTTGGAGATGACTTGGGGATGTGGCTACCACACACACAGACACACACACGCATACACACACACACACACACACACACACCACATTGCTTGCTTTTCCTTAGTATGGTTGTTTGTTTTCTTCATGCTTCTAGGGAGACTAGGCCACCTGACTACTTTCTTTCATTTTTATATAATTATTATTATTATTATTATTATTTGTTTTTTAAGACAGGGTTTCTCTGGGTAACAGCTTTGGCTGTCCTGGAGCTTGCTTTGTAGACCAGGTTGGCCTTGCCTCCCAAGTGCTGGGATTAAAGGGGTGTGCCACCATGCCCAGCCGTGTGTGTGTGTGTGTGTGTGTGTGTGTGTGTGTGTGTGTGTGTGTGCGCGCGCGCGCGCACGCGCACGCGCGTGAGCTTGGGCATACATCACTATGGCCTGTCATAACTTTTAATTTAAAAATTTTTATGTGTATGCATGTTTTGTTTGTCTGTATGTATATGTACTTACTACATGATACGTGGTGCCTACAAAAATCAGAAGCCGGTGTTCGGTTCCCCAAGAGTTGAGTTACATACAGATGGTTGAGAGCTGACCTGCCAGTGCTGGGAATTGAACTCAGGTCTTGTGGGAGAGGAACTGGCTAGTGCTTGTAACTGAATCATCCCTCCAGCCACACTTTCCTTTTTTCTCTCTTCTCCCTCTCGCCATTTCTCTCCATTATCCTCTCCTCTCCTCTTTTCTGTCCATCCTTTTCTCCCTTTCCCTTCTGAAATGTACCCTGTGTTGACAAACTTCTGAGTAGTGAATCTTTGACGTGCAGAGTTTGACTCTGAAGTAAGGAGGTCAGACAGGGGAACTGGGGTGGGCCTGGCTCTTTGTGGAGTGGAGGGAGTGTTCTGAATCGGTTGTGTAATTCAGCTTGTCCTCCAGCAGCTCAAGAATCCTCTGGACAGACTTCAGAAGCAAGTGAAGTACAAACTACAGACAGTGATGACATCATAGTGACACCCCAAGCTCAGATGTGTCCTAAAGCTGTAAGTACCAGGGGTAACCATTGCCTGTTAGAGAAGGGTAACCAGTAACAGAGTGCTGAGTGGCTACATGTGTGAGATTCTAATCCAGCTTCAAAAAGCCCGCTGAGAAATGCAAGTTAAGTGGAAATTGTATCTGTGTGACCGAGGGTCTGCTGCTGTGGTGATGAAAGGCTTTTCTTATTTTGATGTAAATGACAACTGAGTGTAGCACTTCTTCCCGGTTTGGATCCCCAGCCATTCATGTCCTTCACTGTGGACTTGTTCTTACCCAGCTCGGCTGAGGCCATTTTTCAGGTGAGCAGACTTTGTGTAGATGTAGAGACTGAAAGAAAGGAAGGGATTCTCTGTGGAGGGCTTGGAGAATGTTTCGGTTTCTACAATTTCTGACCCCTCCCTCTCTCCCTCTCCTTCCCCCTCCCCTCCCTCTCCTCTTGTCCCTTCTCCTCTTCCTCCTGTTCTCTGTGGCAGTTTGAATAAGAATGGCCCCCATTGGCTTATCTATTTGACTGCCTGGTTACCAGGGAATGAAGTATTTGAAAGGATTACAAGGATTAGGAGGTGTGGCTTGGTGGAGGAGGTGTGTCACTGGGGCTGGGCTTTGAGGTTTCAGAAGCCCATACTAGGCCCAGCCTCTGCCTCCTTCTCTCTCTCCCTCCTTCTCTCTTTCTCTCTCTCTCTGCTTGTGGATCAGGATGTAGCTATTTCTTCAGCATCTCTTACTTCTGGAAAGAAGAGGCAGGGTAGTGGTTGGTGGTTGGGTTTAAAGACCCTCCCTGGTGTAAAGGTACCTTGATGTTGGCTGCCTACCACAATGAAGGAGGGGCTTGTGTTTGCTTGTATACTTTTGAAAATTAGACAAACGTCAGTCTTCTAGCCAACAGCTCTTGTGCCATTGTAGGCAAAGATCGATGAAAAGGGAGGATGGTGTGACAGTTGTTTTGCATGGAGCTAAAGCAGGGCAGATGCTGTGCATGGCCTGGTGGCTTAGACACATGTCTGGTTGAGTTGTTTGCTATAGTGACTGAAGCTGCTGGAACTCACAGAAGTGCTGATGTGGGTTTTATTGAGAAAACGAGAAAGCTATCTATTCAGAAATCACTTTCTTTATTCTTTGTTTGTGTGTGTGTAGCCCTGGATTCCCTGGAACTTGCAATGTTGACTAGGCTGGCTTTGGTCTCAGAGATTCACCTGTCCCTGCCTCCTAAGTGCTGGGATTAAAGGGGTGTGCCACCATGCCCAGCCGTGTGTGTGTGTGTGTGTGTGTGTGTGTGTGTGTGTGTGTGTGTGTGTGTTCTTTCTGTCTCTGCTACTCTCAGCTTCTTCATTATTCGTCTGTGGAGATAGCCAGGAGTAATGACTCAGGAGGAGATAGAAACCAGATTCTCCTTACAAATTCCCCAGTAACTCTGTGCAGTTTCATCAAGTTGTCTGTTGGTAACTGTTTGGCCTGTGACTTGTCAGTCAATGACTTTTTATAGTGTGCCATGGTGAGTTTCTAGAGAGTATTGTGTTAACATTGCAGCCACATTAAGCTTTAGGGAATCGATATTTCCATTTCAGGATTCAGAGAAGATGTGCATTGAGATTGTGTCCTTGGCCTTCTGTGCAGAGGCTGACGTCATGTCTGATGAGAACATACAGCAGGTGTATGTGGAGTACAAATTCTATGATCTGCCTCTCTCCGAGACAGAGACTCCAGTGTCCCTGAGGAAACCCAGGGCAGGAGAAGAAATCCACTTCCACTTTAGCAAGGGTGAGCTCTCTCTTGCTATTTACCAAAGTGTTATATGTACATGACTTGAAAATATCAAGTAAGTCCAAAAAAAACAGATTTAATTAAGAGGTATTTGTTCTGCAGTTTCTCTTATATTTTTGGTTGTGAGCCTATCCTTTAACAGCTAAGCCATCTCTCCTGCCTATGTTCCACAGTTTCTCTACAAATCACTCTTCCTGCTCCCTCCCATGACTCTCTGTAACGACTTTTTAACTTTTTCAGCTATTTTTAAAATTTAGTTATATATCTAAATAATATTTCCACTTCAATTCTATGATATACTAATTATAGATATTCCTATCCTAGATAAAAAATGTAAGCTATCTTATCCATGTCCTTCACTCACACATAATTGTCATACTTTTTACTGTAATTTTTATTATTTCTATTATTCTAGAATATATATTGACTCTTGTAGTGCTAAGTACCTTCTCTTGCTTTAGTTCTCCTTCCTTTCATATTTCTGGCTTGCCTCTGCCTCCAGAGTGCTGGGATGAAAGGCATACATTACTATGCCTGGTTTGGTTTCTTATTTTAATAGATGTTTCTCAGTAGCTTTCACAGGAAGAGATATTGGAAGTAAATAAATATTTTTGGAGAAAATCAGGCATGAAATATTTTTCTACTCTCCTATTTGGTATCTACACACACACACACACACACACACACACACACACACACACACACACACGCAAGGCATCCACAGATAGTATGCACACACATGCATATTTTTCTTGTTAAATTTTACTTAGGCCTTATTTATCTATTTACGTATCTATGTTTTCTCAAGACAGGGTTTCTCTGTAGCTTTAGAGCCTGTTCTGGAACTTGTTTTGTAGACCAGGCCTGCCTCTGCCTTCCGAGTGCATGCACCACCATTGCCCACCAGTTAGATTTATTTTTATTTCACGTCTGGGCATTCTTCCCACATGTATGTCTGTTCATCACAGACACGCAGTGCTTGCAGAGGTCAGAAGAGGGTGCTGTATCCCCTTGGAAATAGAGTTATAAATAGTAGTTAGCCACCATGTGGGTGCTGGGAATTGAACCTGGAGCCTCAATGCTTTTCACCTCTGAGCCATCTCTCCCACTCCCACTTTTTTTGTTTTTTCCAGACAGGGTTTCTCTGTGAAAACTTGTTTTGTACATCAGGATGGTCTTGAACTCAAGAGATCCACCTACCTCTGCCTGAGGCAGGGTCTTACTTTGTAGCTTTGGCTGTACTGAAACTCACTATGTAAACACCAGTCTGGCCTCGATTTCAGAAACTGGCCTGCCTCTGCCTCACAAATGCTGAGACTAAAGACGCATGTGCCACTACCATCAGCTCAATCTTAGTTATTTGTAATAAAACCATATGAAACAGGGAGCCAACCTGTAGGTCTCCTTTGCCTGTGTTTGCTTTGATTCACTGAAGCATGCAAATAATAACAGTAGCCTCTCCCCGTCCCTCCCTAGCAATACTGAGGATTGAATCTAGGACCTCTTGTATAGTAGGCAAACACTGTACCATAGAGCTACATACAGCCTCATCCCTGTATTCTTTGCTTTTCTTTTACCTTTCATAGTGATAGACCTGGACCCAGTGGAACAACAAGGCAGAAGGCAGTTTCTATTTGCCATGCTGCAAGCTCAAGATCCTGATGAGGGACGGTAAGCCCTTTCATAATGACAGTGCAGATATTCAGATAGGAGTTACGAAGTTTGACTTTTGTGCTTATGCTAATATTTTAATATCTTCATTTTCTCTTGATGAATCTCTAATCTACTGGAGTATCTGAGTGCCCATTCAGTTTAGGTTTAGTTCATATTTCACCTGTGGCAGGGACTGTATGTAGGTGACAGTCATGATATGAATCATGATAGTGTTTTGATAGTGTCCTACATGGGGCAGACAGAGTATTTGGATATTCTTAAGTCATTTAGCTAACTTCTCACATATACAGAAGTACTGCTGGCACACCAATTCTGTGCCATTGTAATACACACACACACACACACACACACTATATATATATATATATATATATATATATATATATATATATATTATATATATTTGTTTTTCAAGACAGGGTTTCTCTGTTTAACAGGCCTTGCTGTCCTGGATCTTGTTTTGTAGACGAGGCTACCTTTTAGACTCTTACTCTTGTGTGCTGGGATTAAAGGTGTGAACTACCACCGCCAGGTTTATACTTTTATTTTTTAAAATTAATTTTTATTAAAATTGAAAACAATCTTATTTTACATACCAATCCCATTTCCCGCTCTCTCCCATCCTCTAATGCCTTCCACCAACCCCTATCCACTCCTCAGGGAGGTTGAGGCCTCCCATGGGGGATCATCAAAGTATGTCACATCATTTGGGGCAGGGTCTAGGCCCTCCCCCATGTATCTGGCTGAGAGTATCCCTCCATAGGGAATGTGCTCCCAAAGTCCATTTGTGTACTAGGGATAAATACTGATCCACTACCAGAGGCCCCCTAGGCTGCCCAGGCCCCACAACTGACACCCATATTCAGGGGGGCCTGGCAGTCTTATGCTGGTTCCCCAGCTGTCAGTCTGGGGTCTGTGAGCTCCCACTTGCCCAGGTCAGCTGTTTCTGTGGGTTTCCCCAGCATGGTCTTGACCCCTTTGCTCATCACTCCTCCTCTACAACTGGATTCCAGGAGTTCGGCTCAGTGCTTAGCTGTGAATCTCTGCTTCTGGTTCCATCAGCTATTGGATGAAGGCTCTAGGATGGCATATAAGTTAGTCATCAATCTCATTATCAGTGAAGGGCATTTAAGGTAGCTTCTCCACTATTGCTTATATTCTTAGTTGGGATTATCCTTGTGGATGCCTGGAGATTTCCCTAGCCCATAAATGGTTCCCTCTATTAAGGTATCTCTTTTCATTCTCTCCTTGTCTGTTCTTCCCCCAACTCGATTTCCTAATTCCCTCTTTCCATCCCCCCTCCTCCTCCTTGGGGGGGGGGAAGGCTTGTATGTCTCTGTTAAGGTCTTGTTTCCTAGCTTCTCTGGGATTGTGGATTGTAGTCTGGTAATCCTTTGTTCTATGTCTAAAATCCAAATATGAGTGAGTACAAACCATATTTTTTCTGTGCCTGGGTTACCTCACTCAGGATGATTTCTTATATTTCCATCCATTTGCCTGCAAACCAAGATTTGTTTTGTTTTTCTCCATGTGTAAATGTACCACATTTTCTTCATCCATTCTTCAGCTGAGGGGCATCTAGGTTGCTTCCAGGTTCTGGCTATTACAAATGATGCTGCTATGAAAATAGTTGTACAGATGCACTTTCTTTGGGTATATGCCTAAGAGTGAAATTGTTGGATTGTGTGGCAGACTGATTCCCATTTTCCTGAGGAACTGCCATATTGATTTCCAAAATGGCTGTACAAGTTTGCACTCCCACCAGCAGTGGAGGAGTGTTCCCCTTTCTCTATATCCTCTCCAGTATAAACTGTCATTGGTATTTTTGATTTTAGCCATCCTGACAGGTCTAAGATGGTATCTTAGAGTTGTTTTGATTTGCATTTCCCTGATGGCTAAGGATGTTGAACAATTTAAGTGCCTTTTGGCTATTTGAGATTCTTCTATTGAAAATTCTCTATTTAGGTCTGTGCCCCATTTTTTAAATTGGATTATTTGGTGTTTTGGTGACTAGCTTCTGAGTTCTTTGTATATTTTGGAGATCAGCCCTCTGTCAGATGTGGGGTTGTTGAAGATCTATTCCCATTCTGTGGGCTGCTGTTTTGTCTTGTTGACTGTGTCCTTTGCCTTACAGAAGCTTCTCTGGATAGGTAGGATCAACATAGTAAAAATGGCAATCTTAACTAAAAGCAATCTATAGATTCAGGGCAATCCCCATCAAAATCCTAGCACAAGTCTTCACAGACCTTGAAAGAACAATACTCAATTTTATATGGAAAAAACAAAGGATCCAGGATAGCCAAAACAACCCTGTACAATAAAGGAACTTCCCCATCTCTGACTTCAAGCTCTACTATAGAGTTATAGTAATGAAAACAGCTTGGTATTGGCACAAAAACAGACAGGTAGACCAATAGAATCGAATTGAAGAACCTGATATTAGCCCACACACCTATGAACACCTGATTTTTGACAAAGAATCTAAAATTATACAATTGAAAAAAGAAAGCATCTTCAAGAAATTGTGCTGCCATAACTGGATGTTGACATGTATAACATTGCACATAGATCCATATCTATTGCCATGCACAAAACTTAAATCCAAATGGATCAAAGACCTCAACATAAATCCAGCCACATTGAACTTCTTAGAAGAGAAAGTGGGGGCTGGAGAGATGGATGGCTCAGAGGTTAAAAGCACTGACTGCTCTTCCAGAGGTCCCGAGTTCAATTCCCAGCAACCACATGATGGTTCACAACCATCCCTAGTAAGATCTGGTGCCCTCTTCTTGCCTGTAGGTATACATGGAGAAACAACACTGTATACATTAAAAAAAAAAAATGACCCAAGAAAAAGAGGGAGGTACCCTTGAACTTGAAGGAATTGGTACAGGAGACTGCTCCCTGAACATAACATTAGTAGCACAGACACTGAGATCGACAATAAAAAAATGGGGCCTCCTGAAACTGAGAAGCTTCTGTATTACAAAGGACAGTTATATTTGTATTGTAAAAGATAATTTAAAATTGTATGTGTGGGGCTGGAGTGATGCTCAGCAGTTAAGAGCACTGGTTGCCCTTTCAGAGGACCCAGGTTTGATTCCTAGTATTCACACAACAGTTCACATCATCTATAACTTCATCCCAGGCCATCTAAAGCCCTCTTCTGGCCTCTGGAAGGCACCACACATGTGATGCACAGATAAACATAGAATTTTCTGAAACTTTTTCTTACATGTGTAGGTGTTCAGTCTGCACGTCTACTTCTTCCTTTGGCTTCTTAAAAATGTTGCTTTCCTTTATTCTCTTCCAGAGGTAATCCTCTTCTGCTTCTTGTTGGGTCCCAGTTGGCTCTGCCCTTGGTGGTTTTACCAGTGTGGTGTGGCAAACAGCACCCTGTCTGTCAGAGGTGGTTTTTGTATCCCAACTCCACTCCTACTTTTGAGCTCTGTGGTCTCTGCAGTGTTGCCTGAATGCTCTTTTCAGAGTGACCCATTACCCACAGCACCTAGCCTGTGATGCCAGTATCCAGGCTGTCTGTGGGCCTGGGGACCTCTTTCACACTGCTGTCTCATCATAGTGGGCAACATTTGCTTTTCAAAGTTTAATAAAAAGAGGCACCAGGGTGGCACACTCTTGCAATCATAGCACGTGGAAGGTGGAGGCAGGAAGCCAGTCTTAGCTATGTAGTGAGTTGCAGACCAGTCTGGGGCTCCACGAGGTCATCTCAAGGCTGAAGCAGACTAATGGGTAAAAGCGCTTGCTTCCAAATCTGACGACTTGAGTTCAGTCCGCAGGATACACACGGGGAAGCAGAGAACCAACTCACAAAAGTTGTCCTGACTTCTATGGGTGCTGAACCCTTCCCACAGATTCCTGACTTTTGGCTCCTTAGAAAATGGAGGCAGGGGATAGGATTCAGATTCAGGGAAAACACGATTAGCTACCAGGTGATGCTGAGAGTCAAACCTGGGTGCTCTTGAAGAGTAACCAATGCTCTTTCTTATTATCTCAGCCACCTCGTCAGACTCCATAATTACTACACAGGGTTTCTCTGTGTAGCCCCAGCTGTTCTGGAACTCACTTTGTAGACCAGGCTGGTCTCAAACTCAGAGATTTGCCTGCCTTTGCCTCCTGAGTGCTAGGATTAAAGGCATATGCCACCATTGCCCAGCATATGTTCACAATTTTAAATGGATTGATTTTTTATTTGTTTCAGTTTAAAGTTTACAGTGGTAAGTGATCCTCTGGATGAAGAAAAGAAAGAATGTCAAGATGTAGGGTATGCGTACCTTGAACTGTGGCAGATATTTCAATCTGGAAGAGATATCCTAGAGCAAGAACTAGAGAGTGAGTAATAACATTTTCTACTTCTTAGTTCCATTTATTTGTAGAGAAAATCTACTTATGTGTAGCTTTTGTTAACCTGTGAGGTTATCTGTGAGGTTGATGGACAAATGTTTTTAAGTCTTCCCCCCACAGCCATATGTATTTCATTCTATGCTTGTCTAGACTCAATCCTCGGAAGTGGAGAAAAAAGTTGGTCTACTTTTATTTTTTTATATTCATTATGTATGTATGTATACACATGTGTTCAAGTCAGGGAACAACCTGTAGGAGTCAGTTTCTTGCCTTCCACTATGTGGGTTCTGGGATTGAACTCAGCTTGTCAGGTTTGTCAGCAAGTGTCTTTACCCACTGAGCCATCTGGCCAGTCCTAAAACCCCCTTTTTCTCTGTTCTAGCTTTTGTCTTGTCTCCAAAGCACCTTAACCTTTTCCTCATGGATTTAAACCACACTATAATGGTTTCACTTTCTTATGAATGAGGAAATAACTCCAACATGACAAATACTAGCCATTAAAAGTGTATAAATGGATGGCTGTGATGGATGGTATAGGCCTTTAATTCCAGAACTAAGGAGCAAAGGCTGACTCTGTTTGAGGCCAGCCTGGACTATACAGGGAGTTATAGGTCAGCCAGGGCTAGAGTGAGAATCTGTCTCAAACAAACAAACAAAACTAAAGTGTGTAAACCAAACATTGCTGGTACCTAACAGCTCTATCCTTCTCCACAGTTGTCAGCCCTGGAGACCAGGCCATCCAAATTGGAAGGCTGAAGGTTTCCCTTCGAGCAGCTGCTGCCCTCCATAGCATTTACAAGGAGATGACTGAAGATTTGTTTTCATGAAAGAACTACTCCACTCTAAGATTTGAGGGAATCACAGTGAGAGTCTCTTATAAAGTAACATGCTATGCCATAAATCTGGTGTCCTGTGCTATCTGCTCTGTTTCTCAAACTAATGGTGAGGCTTACAACCACCAATGAACTTTTGTGGTACTAGGCAGATAAAGGCATTTTGTTCTAACATGCTGACACTTTAGTAGGGAAGACAATTTTAGAAACTGCAAAGAAATGGTCATAAAAGACAAATTTACAAAAAACAAAACAAAACAAAAAAATCCCAGTTTATTTATCTTTTAGTTCTTCCAAAATTCAAAATATCAAGTCCTACAGCTAAGGAGAGAAAACAAACAAACATAAAATCTGAGAAGCCCCTTCTCCTAAAGTCACAGCAGAGGTGGCGAAGTGGGACAGGTGGATGCAGAGAGCCTGCAGGGAGGACAGCAAGATAAAGTCCCCCAGGGCTTCAAAGCTGATCATCAGAAGTGACCAACCCAGGATGCTGTAGACAAAGTAAAGGCAGGAGAAGCAGAGTCCAGCCTTGTGGGTATGGCCTCCTTCCCGTTTCTCTTCTCGTCAAGACATGACTTACTCTTTCAGATGTGTTTTGATTCCCTTGAGCCTCTCTCTAGATTTCATCTGCAGTATGAGGCATGACCTTTCTTCTTTAGATGTATCAGAAGAAACAGTGGAAATTCTGCCTTCTAGCATTGTACCACTTGAAAGGAGAAGAAACCCAGCCATGGAGTGCCAGTGCTTATGTCTTCCAAGGGAGCAGAAATGCCTCAAAATGTGCATGAGGCAAAAAACAAAACAAAACAAAACAAAACAAAAAAACAGGAAAACTTATGACCAGCCATCAGCCCACCCTGCCTTTAGCTCAGCTGTGATATCAATCCTTAGCAGAGCCCATGGACCTTTCTTGAGAACTTCAGATCTGGAACTTAAAGGGACGAAAGGAGGGCTGAACCTGTGGGGCCAGAACCATGCTCCTGCTAAGTATGGTGGCTCAGGCCTGTAATCTCAGCACTTGGGAGGCAGAAGAAGAGGATTACAAGTTTGAGGCCAGCCTGGTTTATGGAGACTGTCTCAAAAAGCCATGAAAAATAAAAATGCAGAGAAAAAAAGAATCATAGTAGAAATAGTTAATGGTCAACTTTTACCACTGTCTTGGTAATTCAGCTTTGAAATACCAAAGATAGGTTGTCAGAAGAAAACAAACAGTATCAAGAGTGGGAGGTGCCTCCTGCCCTTCAACATCACCTCTCTTGCCAGCCATTTGAACGGGGCCACTGGCACATGTCCTGGTGGGCCTGGAATTCCCCGAGTAGCTTGGTCCGCACAAATGGCCCCTAAACCCATAAACACAAATGGCAAAACTTCAAAGAAACCAAAAGGAAAAACAGTTTCTATGTCATGTCGGATTTTTAGGAGTTGACTGCAGAGAGAATAGAGCAGAGGACCACAGTTCATATTACTTTCTCTTTTTCTTGGGGGGTGCAGAGCTGTGTCTGGAACCACGGTTTGAGCCACCACGGCCTGAACTATGTACAGATGCCTTCCTCTTCCGGCTCATACTTCGACTCTGTTCTTCTTCTTCCTCATAACGGCTTTCACGGTCCGCTAAGCAGAAGACAGAGTGATTCATTAGCTTAAAATTCCTACTATTAGTGGACAGCATGAGCCAGCAATTCAACTTGAATGTTAATTTTTATTTAGTCAGTTACTAGTTATGTGACTTAGACAACTGCTTAATCTTTTGGAGCCTGAGCCCATTTTCAAGGAGAATTAAAAGGGTACCTGCCCAAAGCACTTCCCACAATGCTAGGAACAGCAGCAAACATATTCATTTTAATTTTTAACTTTTATTTGGGGCTTGAGTTTAGAGTAATGACACCAACACCAACTAGACAATATTCCTAGTTGTAACTCTCTCACTATGAGGAAATCACACTTCTGTACATCCTGAAAAACTTGAAGAGATGGAATCAAGCTCACCTGGAGCCTATGGGCAAATTATACATCTTATGTCTCCTCTGGTCAAATTCTACCTATGTCTTAGATTTTGTTTTCATTCACGCATGCATGCATGTATGTATTTTCTGTGTCTGTGTGTTTGGGGGAGCACCTAGGGCAAAAGTTGAAATTAGCAGTCTTCCTCAATTGCTCTCTATCTTATAGGACAATTTCTGGGACTGAACTTGGAGTCCAACTAATGGGGTAGACGGGCCAGTCAATAATCCCCAAGGACCCTCATATTTTTGCTGCCCCAGCACCGGATTACTGGCATACACTGTTGTGCTCAGTTTTTATGTAAGAGCTCTAGGGAGCAAAGTCAGGTTCCTTTTTTTTTTTCTGATTTTGGGTTTTTCTGTGCAGCTTTAGAGCCTGTCCTGGAACTCACTCTGTAGACCAAGCTGGCCTTGAACTCACACCTCTGCCTCCTGAGTGCTGGGAATAAAGGCACGTGTTACCATGGCCTAGCCAAACTCAGGTTCTTAAGCTTGAATGGCAATCACTTTACCAACTGAGCCATCTCCCCAATTTCCTGCTGAAACAACTTTATAGTATTCTTTTCCAAATCTCATTGCCTCCTAACATTAACACTTCAAAACAAAGAATAGTGTTAACTGAATTTGCACATAAATTAAATGAATAAATAAGTGACCCCAAACAACAAATCTTAAAAGAACCTTTTCGGGCTTCTTCTTCTAGCTCATCCCAGTCTTTCCCGCTTTCTTCTTCACTGCCCAGAGACTCCTTGGAATAGTCTGCAACAATAATGATTGCACATTGATCATGCAGCAACACAACATAATGTACAACATTTTCCTTTTTAAAAGCATTCTTTAGGAATGATATCAGACGAGGAAGCCATGGTTAAGTGTTTTCTCCTTTAAAATTTGTTATGTGTGTGGGTGCACTGGCCTGTGCATGTGCAGCCCAGGAGGATGTTTACCTTATTTCCTTCCTACAGGGTCTCTCAATAAGCCCGGAGCTCCTGGGATTTTTTGGCCAGGCTGGTGCCCTACAAGTCCCCATGGTCCTCTAGTCTGTGTCCACCCCCTACATCCCTGACCCTGTTATTCCTAGTGCTACTACAAGAGAGCTTGGCTGGCTTTTTATGTGCATGCAAGGGATCTGAGCTCAGAGACTGTAACAGCAAGTGCTGTTACACACAATGAGTCATTTTTGTAGCCCAGCAAATACCCTCTAACCTGATTCTTCTGCTTCTGATGAATAATCTTCATCACTATCCTCTTCTTCCTCTTCATAGTCATCCTCAGAAGGATTAAAAGTCTCATCTTCAATCTCAGACTCAGAGTCTCCATCCTCAGCATCACTTCCCTGGTGAAGTATGGAAAGCAGAAGACCCATACACTCATTTTCTCATATTCACCTTATTAAAAAAATTAATTCAATGTACTTTGTTCACTATCATTTCATATATAAAAATCAAAAATAAGAAAGCTGAATGACCAAGAGATAAAGGACTTGTCTTAAAATTATTCATTAAGGTACATTTATTAGATTCTCAAACAGTCAATTCATCTGTTTTTGTGTGTGGGAATTAATGAGGGAAACACACTTTGTATTAATGCATTATGGCAAGGCAGGAGCTCTATTTAAAATAAGTTTTAAATTAAAAATTTTTTTGTGAGACAAGGTCTCACTGTGCAGTCCTTACCTGGCACTCGCTATATAGACTAGACTGGTCTTGAACTCACAGATCTGCTTGCCTCTGCCTTCTGAGTGCAGAAATTAAAGGAGTGCATCATTACACCTGGTGACTATTATTTATTCTTAAAGATTAATTTTTAAAATATTTTATGTGTACAAATTTGCCTACATGTATGTCTATGAACCGGGTGTGACAGTTTTGTGGGAGATAGAAGGCTTTGAATCCCCTGCAATGGGGTTGGATGGTTGTGGGTTGCCATGAGGGTGATGGGTATTGAACTTGGGTCCTCTGAAGGAGTAGGCAGTGTTCTTAACTGCTGCTGAGTTACCTCTCTAGCCTCCAGAGGACTATTTTTAAAAGTACTTTTTGTAACAAGCCTCAATCCTATCTCCTTCAAAGAAACTCTGTGAGGAATAATTTTATAAATTGAAAGAAATGTGGGCAGTGACTATCAATATCTAATAAAATCATCATTTACCTGCAAAAGAAGCAATAATACCAAGTCGTGCTTTTAGATTTTTTTCCTGCAGGTTGGGTCCCTATGTGCTACTTATAGGTGTCATTTTCTTAAGTGCCTAAAGCATTAGGCAACACTACATACCAAAATAAAAAGAAACCCCACACTCACGCACCTCACCCTCAGGTTCCAGGAAAGACCAGCCACCTTGTTCAAAGAAGCCCTCGGGGTCATCAACAATGGTCTTCATAATTTTAGTCCAGTTGAGGGACTGTACTCCTTCTGTGTATTTTAGGTCACAAGAACTAAAATGACATTACAAAACCAAAATCAAATTGTATTTTCTGTCAATATAAATCATCACTATTAGCTTTCCTGGGTATGCCCCAAATGGCTGGTATTTGAATTTCCAGAGCACTGATACCCATGGCAGAAAGCATTTCAACCCATATAAGCTTTGTTCCTTAAACAATTCTGAGTTCATCCTTTCTCCTCTTCAGCACCAATGATTCTGTTCCTCATTTGTCTTTGTGTGACTCACCCAAGCTCCCCTACCCCTCACCGATGCCAACTTAACTTACAACCAATTCTGAGGTTGACCCAGGTTCAGTTACCATCACTCACTTGGTGGCTCCCACTGCCTACAACCCCAGTTCCAGGGGATCAGATTCCTCTCTTTTAAATTCTGTGGCACCAGGCACACATGTGATGTATATATACACATGCAGGAAAAACACTCATACTCATAAAAACAAATCATTAGCAAATGTCCTGTCTGAGATCTATTAACAGAATCTGCTTCACACAATGTTACCTATACTAAAATGTCTACTTTCTAAATCTTAATTCACCTGGGTCCTCTGCAAAAGCTCATAAATTTAATAATTTCTACATTTTCTAAAAGTTTCTACTCCAAACACTAAGAAACTGAAGGATAATTT